TTGCATTTTTTGTTTCAGTGGGTGACAGGCCTGGACTGCAGGCAGGCCAGTTTAACACTCAGACTCTTTTACTGCGGAACTGCGCTGTGGTAATATGTGCAGAATGTGGTTTGGCATCGTCTTGCTGAAGTAAGCAAGACCTTCCCTGAGAAAGATCTAGATGGCAGCATATGTTGCTCCAAAACCTGTATATATCATTCAGCATCAATAGTGCTTTCACAGATGTGCAAGTCACTCATGCCATGTGTGCTATTGCTGACTTTTGAACTGTGCACTGAGAATAAGCTGGATGGTTCCTCTTCTTTTAGCCCAGAGGACATCCACGATTTCCAAAAAGAAGTTCAAATTTTGTTTCGTTGGACCACAGGACACTTTTCCACTTCACCCTAGTTTATCCTAAATGAGCTCAGGCCCAGAGAAGGCGGCAGTGTTTCTGGATCCTGTTTATATATGGTTTCTTCTTTGCATGGTACAGTTTTAACTTGTATGTGTAGATGTAGCGATGAACTGTGTTTACAGACAATGTTTTTTGGAAGCGTTCCTCAGCACATGCAGTGATTTCTACTACAGAATCGTGTCTGGTTGTAATGCAGCTCTGCCTGAGGGCCCAAAGATCATGGCCATCCAGTATTGGTTTTCAGCCTTGTTTCTTGCATACAGAGAGTTCTCTGGATTCTCTAGACCTCTGAATGATGTTATATACCGTAGATGACAAAATCAGGTTTTTGCTATGTTATGTTGAGAGAAGTTATTCTTGAATTCATGAACTATTTGCCTGCACAGTCTTTCATAGAGTGGTGAACCCCTCCCCATCTTTACTTCTGAAAGACTCAGACTCTCTGGGATGCTCTTTTTAAACCCAGTCAATAATGACTTATTGCCAATTAACCTTATTAGCTATGAGATGGTCCACCAGTTGTTTTTTTTTAGCATTACACAACTTTACCAGCCTTTTGTTGCCCCTGTCCCAACATTTGAAATGTGTTGCTGGCATCATATGAAAAATAGCTAAATATTTTTTCAAAAAACAATAACGTTTCTCAGTCTCAACATTTGATATGTTCTCTTTGAGCTATTTTCAATTAAATATAGGGTTTGAATGAATTGCACATCATTGCATTTTAATTTTATTTGCATTTTACACAGTGTCCCATCTTTTTTGGAAACAGTGTTCCAGTGTTCCTAACATTCTGAGGAAGGTCATAAATGATCTATCTAGATAGGAGCTCAAGTTCAATGAGTATGCAGTAAAACTGCACAACAGCATAACAAGTAAGCTTTGGGTCCACCTGCACACGCATCTAGACCTGCCCCCCTTCATCTGAGACATAAACAATTCTCATGGTCAATGTCATTGTGATATTATGGTGGAAAACATAAATCATGTATAAACAAACAGCTTGAATCAGTGGCACAGACAGAAATAAACTCCTAGGTAGGTCTGTGAAAAGTGTTTAGGCCAACCTGCTAGATACAATTTCCAAAAATGCTATGTCTCACAATGTCATAACATCAGGCTATAGCCTATAGCTGACGGCAGTGCAGTCATCACCCAATCTATTCCAGTGCTTCAACAATATAAAGATACAAAACAATAACAAGACTATGAATACATCAATGAGAATACTGGATTCACATAAACACTGCAGTTCCTGTCACTATAAAGCATCTGCCCGCCACACGCACAACCTTTGCTCAATGAAACCAACATAACTGACTCTTTTTTTGTCAGCAAGCAGAACATGCAAGGTGTCTTTAGCAGCATCATTAGACATGCGCTGAGTCTTCCCAAACACCGTTTGATATCTTATAACTACCGACTCCAATCTTCTTTCTGATTGATGGTATATTTCTGCCGACGTTTTTCACACTGCTCTTTCAAACCAAACCTTGCACTGAAATGTTTGGTTAAACCTTCAAGCATGTCATCAATTGAAACATCCGGAGGTGCAGAACCATGTTTTTCAGTTGTCCGCTTTTCAACAATTTTAGAAACTGGCTTTGCAGCATTTTCCTGCTCCATAGTTAGCCACCAAAAAACACACACATTACATTACAATGAATACTTAACTCAGTGCTCATTTAAGCAGCACAGACAAATCTGACCCCCACCTAATAAATAATTTTACGAAAGATAACGACAAACAGAAAGACAGGCCTAAATATTTACAAAGAAATGCAATTGCAATTATACTTAAGTTGTTCCCAGCACCCTAAGTGTGGAAGAGGACCGAAAGTTACCTATTTTCACCCGTTGAACAGCAGCTGTAACTTAATTATATTTTGCTTCGAAGTAATGCCAACCTCTAAGCTGTTAATCATTCTTTGGGATACCTGTGCTAGCAAACTTTTAAAACTTCCAAAGAGTTGAAAAAGCTTAGGAGAACATTCAGATGTCATTTATTACTCAAATACCTTCATGTAATTGAAATTAATTTAGCCTTAATTAGCTTCTATAGTTGAACAATGAATTGATATGTTTCCTTCAGCGAGGATATCACTATTCAACTCACCACTGTGTGGTTTCGATGGATGTTGAAGATTTGTGCACTTTTGAGGGGAAGGTTAGATGTATTTCAAGAAGTCTTCATACAGAGATGTTCACAGGTCACTGGTTGGTTCCTTCTCCCACAGGAAAGCAGGAACACACACCAATTGTACAGAATGTTATCACCATCAACTGGCCCAAACAACTCCCCCGCCCCAAGTATCATGGTTGTGTACCCACGATAGAGAGGCAAAGAAAAGTACAGAACATTCTAAGATGACCTAAAAGGATCAGGCCCTTAGAGACAGATACACACCACAATCCAACAAAATCTTTTAAAGGGACTGAATACTTTTGCAAGTTACTGTATAATGCAAATGCATAGTATGTTTCTTCACACATCACTATGAAAGGAAAGGCATGGTGGTATGCCTTTAATGGTTAACATGGTGCACAGATGTTGTTTGACAACATGCTTTACAGGAAACAAAAAAGGCTACAATAAATATAGTAAGTACTAAGTACTCACAAGTGGAGACACCGCTAAAAAGAATATTCGACCTTATTTGTGACACATGTGAAATGTATGACTGTTTATCACAGACTAAAATTTTGGCATGTTTCTCTGTACTTAGAAAAGAACAGAGAATATATGGCTGGAGTTTTCGTAGGGTCCTGCTTGATCGTGTGTGCATACCAGAAAACCTTTTTCCTTTTTACTGTGTTGTTTCAGTGTGAAAAAGTTGGTTAAAACTTCACCAGCTTTGGACAATTTAGACCAGAATTCTACAAATCCAGAAATTGAATTCAGTCTCCTGATTTTTTGATGCTGGCAACAAAGTGAGCTCAAAATAAAGGTCCAGATTTTATCCTTGCTGGATCGATTGATGTCTACAGTTCCCATAGGTTTATCTGTCTCTAAGGGCCTGATCCTTTTAGGTCATCTTAGAATGCTTTGTGATTTTCTATGCCTCTGTATCACGGGTATCAATATTGGATGCTCAAGATCTTCAGGCCCTCAGATGGCACTGCAATAAAAATAGGCATGATTCTGTGCTGGAAATCACTGCATGGGCTCAGGAACACTTCCAGAAATCATTGTCTGTGAACACAGTTTGCAATCCACAAATGCAAGTTAAAGCTGTATCATACAAAAAAGAAGCCATATGTCAATACGATCCAGAAATGCTGCCACCTTCTCTGGGCCAAAGCTCATTTAAAATGGACTGAGGCAAAATGGAAAACTGTTCTGTGGTCAAATTAATCAAAATTTTAAATTCTTTTTGGAAACCACGGACGCCGTGTCCTGCGGACTCAAGAATTCAACAGTTCAAAAGCCTGCTGATGGTATGAGGCTGCATTAGTGCCTATGGCGTAGGCAGCTTACACATCTGATAAATGTTGTGTTTTTGAATAGTTTTTCATATTTAATAAAGGTCAAAAAGAATTTAATAATCACTGCTTTAGGTTTTCATTAGCTTTTCATATACTGTCCTGACTTTTTCAGAGTTGGGTTTGTGCTTAAATATCTCTTACTTCAAAATTCAGTGTAAAGCCTTCAGCTATACAGACATGATATGATAAGTTTTTTATCATAATCATCACTAGGAAATAATGATGAAATCCACCAATTTGTTTCACATCCCTATTCCTTATATCTAGGTATTCTTATTCTTATTATGTATTTCTAATATTACATGCCTATTCCAGTTTTAGTGCTCATTTCCCCTTCAGTCCTGAAGTGACAGCTCTGTGTTGACTTCTATTCCTTGGGTTTCTTTACATATTAAAGAGCCAGGACTGAACTCAACTTGCAATTGTCATTTTTACCTGCTTTTATGACATATAACATTTTGTTTAAAACAGTGATCAGCTTTTTGCAAATGGTCAGGAAGAGTGTTGAGAATGGTCAGGATGTGTGATACAGCTGCGGACTGAGACTTCTCCCTCCGGCTGAGGACACTTATTACACTCAGTACAACAGGTTTAATCAGTTATCTTATGTTATTAGTTGATCACTGAATTCTGCCTATGATGAATATTAACCGAATAAAACAGCTGACAACTTTTTGCAAGAACTTTTACTGCTCATTCAGCTCTACAAACAGCCTATAAACAGCGAATTGGCATCAAAGTTCTTAAACAAACCAAACGCCTTTATAACACAGTAAAGTAAAGAACGTTATTTGTGCACTAACCGTTATTTCACTGAAGCATTGAGGTTTGTAGCAAACAATAGTGCGTTGCGATGTAACTGTCGTACTATAAACTCCAAAGACAAAGTTGCGAAAAGTTTCAACTGCAGTCAGATGTTCCACTGGACTACTGTAACTGGACACTTCCAATAGTGCCGTAACAGCCCCAAAAGAAGAAGAATCTTCCAGTTTAACTCAGAGGCTGCATCAGAGTGGAGGCATAAACCCTTTATGAACTTTAGTTTATCTCACTTATAACTGTTGGGAGTGAATTTAAAGTACATACTAAATACGTTTATATGTAAATTCATACTCACGCTTCTTCGCAAGTCCTTCTCGAGCTGAACCGTTAGGTTGGTTTGTTTTTGGGTTTCCAAGACCATTGAAGCCTGGTGAATCGCACACAGCCGGGAACGGATTTCTCTTTCTCTTCACTCATTTTCTCGTTGGCATTTTTGCCTCCACAAACTAACGCAGAAGTTGAAACACTGTAGCACTAAAACCTTTAACTGCGACACTGACTCAGTTATGATCGAAGTTTTGACGATTGGCAAGTTTTTGTTTTTGTTGGTTGTTGGCGGTGTCGTGGATGGATGGGGGCGGGTGAGCAAAAGCGATAAGATTCTAATGTTCTGCACACCACAACATGGATGTATGTATTCATTCTCTCCATTTTTGTAAGCTCTCTCGTGTTCCCTCACGTCTGAACTTTTTCCACATGATATCCATTTTTCATCCTTATGACCTTCATATTTTTTTTTAATTCAAAATTTTCCCATGAACTTGAATGATTTTGTGGTGTGGTTAGTATCAGTGTGAAAAAGCACATGGACCACAGATACACATAATACAAAAAAAACGTTTAAAGTACTGAGTCAGTTATCGTTGTTAAGTCATAAAAGACAAGAACAGATGCACAGTCCTTATATAGCTTTGGGAATTTGTGAGTAACTGAGGCTAACTCTACAAGTATGAAGTCCATTCTGCAATACAGAGAATATGGTATTTTGAAAGCAGAAAAGAAGATTTATCATAAAATATTTTCTGTTATTTTTCCTTATATTCATACCAAAATACCAAATAAATACCAAATAAAACATCTGTACAGCAAAACAAGAATTTGGCAGTACAATAAGAATGGAAAAAATTTCTGACCAAAATTTCTCTGTATAAGTGCCACTTCAAAGACTGTCAGGTGCTCTTGCCAGGTGCCACTGTTATGTAGGCCCTGTCATGTAGGATCTGTCATGTATCTGTACTAATTGTGCTTTTTTATCTGCATTTTTATTGTTTGTTAATTAATATATTAATAGTAACAGTGGTAATAATAATAATAATAATAATAATAATAATAATAATAGTAATAATAATAATAATAACAACAACAATAATAATAATAATAATAATACTAATAATAATAATAATAATAAGTAGTAGTAGTAACATTATGTAAGACAACTCGTAGAGAGGAGAATTACCACTCTGTAATGCCCTCAGAGTTTCTTAAACGCTAGAGTCCAAAATAAATGGGTTAAGATGGAGCACTTATGCATTTCCTGAATACTGAATTTTAACACCAGTGTGATATTTTAAGAGCTTTTAAACTCAAGTTGTAGGAGTTTAAAATGGCGCCTCATGTATGTCCATGATGTCAGTGAGTGCGAACAGCCAATAAGCTGCTCTGCTCACCAACCAGTAATCACTCAGTAGCAGCAATGCTAAAGTCCTACTGCCCAAAACCCATTTGCTGTAGAAAAAAGGAAATATACAGGTAATTTTTCTCTGCTGTTTTAGTGAAATACATCCTTCTACTTTCTAAAATTAAAGGAAAGTTCTGGGCGAGTGATTAGAAATTATTTTAACATTTCATTTTTAGTCAACTCCATTTACTCCCATTCATTGAGGACTCACTCGCAGGTTCCCCTTTTGGCATTTTGCAGTCCTATTTTTGATATAATGGGGGCAATAAGAAGTGGCCAGGCTCCTCATAAACTGGCTCTAGTTACATTTGAAACCAAAGGTCACAGGCGTCAATTTAGTACGTGGACAAAATTGAAATGAAGCTTGTTATCGAGGCTTGTATTATTTACAGAGAATCACATCATCAATGGCTAAGGAGGTCTCGCTTTCTGCCCAAATAGTGACTGCTTCGTTCATGCAACAGAAGACTGCCCCTCCTCCAAAACAGACTCAGAACCCAAAACAGTGAAACAACTCTTAGCTTAGTGGCCTTTGGAATGGAGTATCGTTTACACTGGATTGTTTCGGTGACTGAGCTAATTATGCTAGTGTCATACTCTCGGGTGGGTATCATACTAAATAGACTATTTAGTATTACATGATCTACATTTTAAGTCTGGAATCACTTGATATTTATGGTTACTTATCTAGGCGGTAGTTTTTTATGTGCTCCAGAAACACTAACTTTAGAACAAATACAAATGAACAAATCCAATTTAATTTTATGTCTCAGCTGAACCATTTTCTAAATCTCTCTGGAATGAAGTGTAGTACTTACAGTCATCACAAGGGTTGGGATAGCTACTGAATAAAATTTATAGCTAGCTACTTTGTAGCTACTTTCCAAAATTTGTAGCTAGCTACTTTGTAGCTACTTTCCAAAATTTGTAGCTAGCTACAGTTTAACTACTTTTCCAAAAAAAGTTGTGGCTACGTTTTAGCTACATTTTGAAAAGTAGTGCACAACTTTTTAACTACTTTAAGAGCGCGATTATCAGAATGTTTGTGAATCTCCACCTGACACACCAAACAAGCCCAACTGACAGTGTGAACAAGACACTGCATTTAATCATGTGCCAGAAAGAAACATACAATTGAAAAGCTGCAAATACACAAAAAGATCACCAAAAAATAGGTTTAAGTGTAACCAACAATCAAATTTACACAACCAAAGGCGTGATATTCAACAAAAATTTAGACTAAGTAAAGGCAAAGTCAATCCTTCCAGGTTTTTCCTAACTAAAATCAACAAAGCAAACAACTTTGTGCAAAACATTGTCAACTGTTGAAATAAAACTGCTCCAATTTAAACATTTCAGCCAGATATGTAAGACGTGACATTCAGAGTCCTTTGTTAAACTTCAGCAACACTTTAGCCTCAAAATTCCCATCAGTGACCCTGGTTCTGCACAGTACTATTAGTAATAGTCTATTACAAAAAAAGTTTTTTCTTTTTTTCTTAGCTAAGCCAGGGCTTGGTAACACGCGGCTCTTCTACTGCCCTATTGCGTCCCCCTGATAATATCTGTCTGCAGAGCCAGCCACGGTTTCATGCCAGCAGTTTCACTCCAGCAGGTTCAAGCCAGTGGCATTCAGCACATGCACTGACACTTGTTTTGGTCTTGCTTAGCGAGTGTTAGACTAATTAACATTTCAGTCATTTTAGGTGGGTTTCCAATACATTTTTGATAAATTTGCATTGGGCTAACATTATAATTTAAGCTTTAGGCTAAAACAAGTTGTGGTTTTTGAATAAATCCCAGCTGAAAAAAACCATAGAAACCATTAAGTGCTTATTTTGGTTTCTGGTGGTTTTGTAATGTGTTTTGGGTTTTTAAATGTGTTAATATCACAATGTAAAGAAACGTAAAGGATTCTAGTTTAACAGCTCTGCAGTCAGACCTTTCACTGTGATGGTTCCACAGCAGAACTAGATTTTTAGGTAAAATAACATAATCCTCCTGATCGTTATAACACACAATTCTAACAGAACTAGTAGGTAACGAAATGGCAAAGAGCAAGATTTAAGACGAGCATCGATAATTTGGAGACAAATGGACTTATTTGCATTTATAAACACTCCAGCTGGTTTCCTGACACATTTAATCTGAACGAGAATCTGTCAAACACAAAGTCTTGAAGTCAGTTTCTCATTCACCAGCTTCTCGTTCGCATTTTCCCGTTCCACCTTAAATGGCACAGCAGTACATTCTGGCACCTCAGGCACCATTTAAGGTGGAATGGGACAATTCAAACAAAAAGCTGGTGAATGAGAAGCTGACTTTGGTCTCGTAAAGAGTTGAACACAGAGGGACATTTTACAAGAAACTCTACTTTCGCCGAAAAGTTTCTTGACTGAGGTGCGAGAAAAGCAGCTATAGCTGACCTGAAGCTTAAAGCAGAGCAGAGTAAGTCTGTGTTTCATTTATATTATATTTTTAACCTGAACTAGCACATTAGCACATACTGAGACATATTTATAGCCAAGATAGTGAAACGGATATAACAAGGTAGTGGCTCCGAAGGTGGTTTCATTTTTGTTGAAAGGACAGAATGGCTCTTCTTAACATTTGAGTTGCGACCCCTGAGCTAAGCCTACTAGTAAGGGGTGATTAGCATGTGCTCGAACTGTCCACAACTCAGTCAGGATTGCACAGTCGCCATTAGCCCGGTTAACGACTGCGTTCTATGGTTCAGATTTTGCATGGATTTCCTAAAGCTTGTAGGGAAATTGTAGGGAAAATTATTGCTACAGCTACACAAAAATTTATAGGCACTACAACTATTAGCTACATTTTATAAAACTGTAGTGGCTACAGCTATTAGCTATGAAAATTTGTAGTTAGCTACAAAAAAGTAGCACACTACTTAGCTACTCCCCCATCCCTTGTCCTCACCCAATACCTAATTTATCAATCCTTTATTAAATTAAATCAGTTGCTGCTGATGGAACTGAACATATTCATGAGATGGCTGGAGAGCATGCAAGACGTCAGGAACAAAGTGTTCTTCTAACAGTATTTTTCTAACCTGCATAATAAATAACTTCACTACCAAACAACACATTATTTTTACTGTATTTATATTTATTTGTATTCATACCAATGTTATATAGCAAACCAAATACATTAGATGCTGTGGGTGTGTGGTGTGTCTTTAGAGCATAAACCCATTTCAGACATAACAAAACAGAATAAACATGCAAATTATACTGTCATTTTGCATATATGGACCCAGCAATCATAATCAGCAAATAGAAAGATGGTGGGCATTCATGAGAAAACAGCATAGCCAAGACTGGAAGAACCGCTTCCAGCAAATGAAGGATTCAGAGTGCTTTAGTGGGGACTTCAACAGATAGCTAATCCCGTTTACTTGTTTCTGTTTACTTCTATCTGTTTGTAGTTTGCTTGAGTCCACCACATGACCATCCATGTATGATGTACACCCTTCCACAGTATTTTATGTGTTTACAGAGAGGCCCATTCCCATGCAATGAGACAGTCTTCACTATGTCCTCTCATATCGAGGCAGAGAACTATCTACCCCATCACACCCGATGAAGCAATTGAATTGTACCTAATTTTGAGGACTTGTTTACTTAAAGACTTGTAACCAAGCACTTACCTGCTTTACCTCATAAACCCAAGGCTATGTTTCATGAACTTCACTGATAAGGTGAAGATTAGATGTGGCCGGGTTCATCTCATGATCACTTATGATCTATATTAGCAACTGTACAGTAGTTTTATTTTAATCTTCACAGAACAAGTAGCCTAAATACTAGCTCATTGTTTTCATGAAATTATGCATAAACAGATGTAAACAGATGGAAAGTTTTATATTATTTTAGTTACATGCTTCAAATTAGATGCATTAGTGAATGACACATGATGTCATGTGTGACAAAACATTATAGAATCATCTACAGCTGTACATGCAAATTTTTTCTCTTTTTCACTTTTGTTTTCGAGACATTAGTTAAGACCTGTGAACGTGCACAGTAAAATCATCATTATAGACTCATTTTAAAAAACTATGACACTTTTTTATTGAAAAGTGTTCCCAAACTTACCTTTTGAACTGTGATATGAAACTTTTGAATGGTACTATGTCTACTGTAGTGGACACAGGTCAATTGAAAAGAGGTTGAGAAGACTTTTTACTCTGACATCAGCCAATGGTTGTGAATTTGAAAGGTTTTCAGACATTTTTATATGACTTATCTGTTATGTAAGTAATTTTGAAAGAATATGTCGGTTTCACAACATGTAACAATGACATATATTTCCAAATGTTTGCAGACACCTGTTCATCCTTTAGTTCTTCTAAAATGAAGCATATTTAAAGGGATTTGTTCCTCTTCAGTAGAATGTTCAGTAACATTCTGTACTTTTCTGGGAAGACTTTACACTAGACGATGGAACATTGCCAAGATGATTTGATTTGCATTCAGCTAAAAGAGTATTAATTAAGTCAGGTACTGATGTTGGATGATCATCCAACTTATCCCAAAGACATTGGATGGAGTTCCAGAGAACACAGTTCCAAAACTTCACAGACCAATGCAAAATTTCTGACAATGAGGGCAGCAGCAAATCATCCAAGGGTTTCAGGAGGATATCTAAGCAACTGCAGGGCTGTCTAGCTTCAGGTCAGTCAGTGTTCAAGACTCCACAGTAAGAAAGGGACTGGCAACAAAAGTGACATTTGTGGGAGAGCAGCAAGGCAGAAAATACTGCTATGTGAAAAAAAAAAACCTTAATACTTGTCTCACATTTTCAAAAAAAACAGCTTAAGCCTCTAGCAGATGCTTGGCAATGGGCATGGTTAACTATTGACAGTGCTTTTCTGTGGAGATTATACAAGCTGTGTGAGCACATTTGAACATCAACAATGGGTGCACCTTAAATAGATTCACTTATCAGAAGGTATATTAGTATTTTTGGACAGAACACATACATATCTGATTACAATTTATATCTAAACACTAAGATGTTTATGCAACACACACATACATACACTCACACACAAATATATACAAAGAAAGAATGATCGGGACCCCCGCTCTTGGTTTCAGCTCACACTGGCATTACTACATAAATAATATAAATATCACAGTCAAAACAAGTGGATAAAAAATCTTAAAATCTCATATCCCACACACATACACGCCACATCATACAGTGCTTAAATATGATCTGACCCTTTTCTCTATTGTATGTTTTTCACAGTGAATGCTTTTAGATCTTTAAATGTAATATTAAACTTATCAAACACAAAACACATTTTTAAATTATTATTTCATTTTATAAGAAGAAGCAAATATGTCCAAAATGTGAATCACCCATTGGAGAAGGTAATTGCCCCCTAATTACTCAAGCTACAATTTAATCAAATTCAATTGATAATGAGATTCAGCTGCTTGAACACAGCCAGGCTTGAATGTTGCCAGCCCTACTGAATGTAAGCCTGACTCATAACGTGATGTAGTTGGCACAGAGTTGTTAGAGCCACACTCAAAAGAAAATGTGGAAGAGATGAAAAAGCTGTAGAAATATATCAGTCTGGTAAGGGTTACTGTTTCTAACGTTCTATGACATCACCGAGCCTTTACCTACAATTTTTGAACACTGATTAATCTTTCCAGCAGTGACCAACTTGACAAAATTTTCACAAGAGTGCAGTGGCAAATCATCCAAAGGTTCCAGGGAAAAATCCAAGGAACAAGGCTCTCTATAGGCTCAAGTAGTCAGTAAGTGTTCACAATTCCACAAAATAAAAGACCATGGCCGCAAAAGTCGCATTCATGGAAGAGCAGCATGGCAAAAAACACTCCAACTGAAAGAAATTCCAATGCTTGTCTCACATTTGCAGCAAAAGTACCCTAAGCTTTTTAAAAACAGACCATAAGGTTTTGGACAACACCGGACTTGGACAACATGCTATCGTTGAAGGAGTCAAGAAATCTGTTCTGTATCAGAGAATTCTTAAAACCCCTGGCAACTCATTCACATGATTTTCTTTCAACTGCTATCTGTAGTTTTTGTGATGTTTTTACAAAGAACTGGCAAGAAAGAATGATGGTGGTCTTTTCTCCGGTGTCGACCAGAGGAGGATGGGTTCCCTTTTTGAGTCTTGGTTCCTCTCAAGGTTTCTTCCTCTTGCTTTTAGGGAGTTTTTCCTTGTCACTGTCGGCACTGGCGACGCTCATGGGGACTTGGACCCGTATTTTTCGGTAAATCTGCTCTGTGACAACACCTGTTGTAAAAAACGCTATATAAATAAACTTTGCTTGCTTGCTTCTCTTCATACATTTTTGGAAGTACTTTTTTCCTACCATTTTTCTCAAATTGATTTGACTTGGGTGGGACTAAATTTGGCATAGGTGACATTAGATCTGAAAGTACATTTCACGGTTACCTTTCACATGTCTACGTCAGGTGCTCATGTTCCTCTCTCTCACATAAAGGCTCTCCTCGTGCTCTGAGGCCTTGACAAAGCTCCCAGCAAATAGATTATTTTGAATTATTTCTAAGCTTTTCTAAATTTGTTAACACTGCTCAAAGGTTTATCACACCATTGCTTTTAGCAGAGTTAGAAGCTGCTTCCTCCTTGTGTGTTTCCTACTATAAAGCAATTTATTTCATTTATGAGAGTGTGATAGCTAGCAGTACACCAACCCCAGGAATAAAATGATATTTTAGCTTAGTATTACATTTTCTACTGTCCTAACATCAAGATTCACAATGTTTCCCAACAATTGTACTTTTCAGGTGTGGTGAACAATAACGCACTTGAGACATTTCTCCATATAAGTGTTGACTTATAAGCTTGTATGACCTGCGTTTTAGAAGTTTGGTCCAACAGTTCCTAGCTAGCCATTGGTTATGGATAACCAATGGCTTTCGTCAGTAATCCGATTAACGCATTTACATGCACTTGAGTAATCAGATAACGGGGAAACTCTGGGTCTACACGAGTCAGGCAGTAATTGGATTTCAGCTTTGTAACCAACCAGTAAGCTCACAGAAGAAGATGTGATGTAAACGTAACGTTAACTCAAACCCTATGCCACAGCTTTTTAAAAAAATATCTCGATACTTTGCCTGAAAATGTGAACATACAACATCTAAAAGATAATATTTAAATCCTTCATTTCATCAAGCATATAGCTGGTTTCAGTGTTGCTCGAAAAGTGTTTTGCTGCCATCCCGCGGCAACACTGCTTGCTTATTTTCGGTACCACCACCTGTTTTCGTGCATGCACAGACCGAGAAATCTAAAAGAAATCTGAGTGTACATGCTCCAAGAAATTTGATAATCTGATAATCCAGCTCTCTTTATCAGATTACTTAATTTGACTGATCTGATCTAAGTAATTAGAGTATTCTGTTTACATGACCATTTGAATGATCAGACAACTGCAAAAATTATGATCAGATTATTGAGTGCATGTTAAAGCACTTAATGTAAAATGCTGATAACAAGTAGCAGTTGAAATGGTAGCAAGTAATGCTGCTAAAGATGATGCAACAAGTTATTAATTTTAAAGGGGCTGATTTGCATGTTGGTCCTAAGAAACAGGGAGTAACTGAAAGAATGTATTTTGTGTTTGATAAGATTCTCTTTGTATTTATATTTTACTTTAAGATATAAAAACATTCACTGTGACAGATATGCAAGAATGGAGGAAATCAGGAAGGAGGCAAATACTTTGTAACGATACAGATTTTACTGTCTTCTTATCTGTAAGTCTGTCAACTTGGACAAATAAATGAGAGGAATAGATCTACTTCATTCTTTATCACTTCATGAGATGGGTGAATGCTGTCTGGTGAGTAGTGGCATGACGTCATTTGCCAAACGTCAATAATCACGACAGGCAGCTCCCTAAACATCACCCTCAATGCACAGTCCAGCTGCCATGACAACCAGTCGCTGCTGTAAATGTCCTTGTAGCCTGTGTTAGCTGATTTGATCAGCACAAGGGTCTGCGGTGCCCTCTGAAGGAGGGCCAGGACAGCTCTGCGGATTCCAGCCAGGCTTTTTAGGTACGTAGCCAGCGGAAAGGTAGTGAAGTGCGCCCAGATGGTGAACATCACAACAGAATGTTGACCTCCAGCTAGAGCATCCAGCTCTGAGGTGATGTAGTGTAAGTCCTGTAGAAAAAAAGGAAATATACAGTTAAGTTCTCTTTGATTTTTACTGAAATACATATTTCCACTATCTGAAATTAAAGAAAGGTCCAGAGCAGGTGGTTAGAAACTATTTTAACTTTTTGTTTTTAGCCATTTAGCTCCATTTACCCTCATTCATTCAGGACTTGTTCACGGGCACACTCGGGCATTTAACAGTCATGTTTTTCATACAGACAAAATAGAAAGCAGCAAGGTTTCCTTTAAACTGGCTCTGGTTTAAACTTGATGGAAGAGGAGACGTTAGCATTTTTGTTTTTGTTCATATTTTTCAAAAGAATATTAGACATGTGTTTTATTGGAGCAGAGAACCAGCCTAGAACTCTGTTTGGATGGCTACACCTGCCCATATTTTAGTGATCCAACGTGGTCAACAGTCTGTGAAGTAAGCATTTTTTGTGGCACATGCTAAGTTTATATCTCAGAGTTCTAGCCTAGTTCTGTGCCCACAAAAAAAGTAGCATAAGGCCACTTAAAGCAAACCCTACAGCAGGGGTGTCAAACTCAACCACTACAGGGGCTATATTTAAAAATTTCAACAAATCTGTGGGCTACAGAAAAAAAAAAGTTTTTATTTCATGTTGTGATTTAAACTGAACTGGTCACTGTTCATTCAAAATGCTAAAACTTCAGCAGTAAAATCTAGGTACTTGTAGTATACCTTAAAATATTACATGAATACTTTAAATATTCAAAATGTTATGTCCCTAGGAGCTCAGTCTTTTAAACCTACCTATTTGCTTGAATTATAAACCTGTCATCCTTTTTGGCCGCAAGTTCATTAATACTTGTGAGTATTTATAGCGTGAGTATAGAGTGTTTATAGTGTTCATAGTATATTTTCAGTTTATCTTGGTTAAACTGCAGCTGAAATGGAGGTGTGTAGAATTGTGTAGAATTGAGGTGTAACCATTGTCCCAAAGATTGCTGTTGGGGTAGGAGAGTCAGCGCACACATTGCGTTGCAGTGTATGCTGGGGACTGTAGTGCAGTGCGTTGTGAAACGGGCTAATATTAATAGAAAATTAAAATACTTTTGCGGGCCGGATAGGATTGTGTCGCAGGCCTAATCTGGCCCGCAGGCCTTGTGTTTGACCCATGAGCCCTAGAGGGTGCCACCTCAGTGATAGCTTTTGCTCCCTGAAAGGAATAGTTTTTTTTTCTGAGAGTGTAGGTGGAAACATATGGCTCCATGTCTATCTTTGTCATAGTCAGTCTCGATGTACCAAAATGAAAATACATGGCCAAAACTGACACTGTTTTTTATAACTGGATTTTTTTTCATTATGCTTTTGAATCAAATGTTAGTGAGGGAAAATGCAGATGTAGTCAGCCCTTTCAGTAAGAAAAATGGAGACAACAATCCATAAAACAAGTTAAAATAATGTTCATAAACTTGTTACAATATGTATAGTAGATTTACATGAAATCCAGTCTTCTCAAGTTGGTCACTGGATGCAAAGAATTACTTTTGTGTAGTCTGCACTTTGCCACCGTTATTTGTGAATTATCATTTAAAAAACCTCTGGGTACAGATGGTGTTGGTGTACTTTTCTGTTGTTTCACTGTGTACTGCATGTCAAGCAGGATGTCATGTTTTTTGGTGTTGTACTTGCTCTTTTTATTTGGCAGGAACAGTGATTATGAATTGCGTGTATAATTTTCTCTCATGGAAACTATGAAATATGTGCACATAATGACATTTTACTGTTGATCTGTGACCACTTTGGCTGTTTCAAAGCATCTGCTCTGACCACTGCAGAAGAGCAAAGGGAAAAATATGCTTTGTTGATCACTGTTTTTAATTTTCATTTCCATTAAAGTTCTTTGTAAAGTCATGATCATTGTCAGACTTTGACACTTGCTTCTAGCCAACTTAATTGTATTTGTAAAACCTTTCAGCCTAAAGTGCCATTTTCCACCATTTTTGGCCAAAAACAGGTTGCTGAAATTTCGGGGCATCCCTAATACAGGGTCCCCATGGATCCTTGAAATGAGTTATTGAGTCTTTGAGTTATTGACACATTTGAAATGTCAGTGAAGGGTAATGTTTAATCCCCTACCAATACGGTTTAAATGTATACACTTTTTGTGTTAATATTAAAGACATGCAGCAGATCTGTTGCCTACAGCTAGCTGGCTGGACTCTGCTTCTGAAACTGACTGACTTATTGTATTCCATTCCTGTAAAGTACAATTGCAGGGAAGCACTGTGAGCCTTGATGTTACGGGGTAGTTAATGTATAGTTTTATGCCTACAGTTAAGGTAAACTGCTAGCTTTCACACTCTGTTAATTGCTTATAGTAGGATCCTGAAAATGGTGGCTAACACAACAAGCAGCATCTAGATACATTACAAACAACTGTTGCGAAGGTTCATTACACAAACACTGATAACAAATTTAGAAAAACTTGGCACTCAGGACAGCAGTTTCTTTATGTGAGAGAGAGCTGACGTTTACATATTGCTAAATCTGATATTTGGCAGATCTGATGTCACCTACACCAAATTTAGTCCCACACAACACAAATTGTACTAAAGAAAATGGCAGAAAAAGTTCAAGAATCTCTTAAGAGAAAAGTCCAACAGCATTCTTTCTCTGTCTCTGTCAAAACTATACATAGAAGAAAAAAAACACCCTTCTCTGTTCCAGCATGACTGCACAAAGCAAGTTCCACAAAGACCTGTTTTGAATAGTTTCTCCTGCGGCATGCACAGAGCCCTATATATAGCGCTATACTTACAAAGAAGTGAGACATATTGGAAAAAAAGGAATACACAAATGGTACATTAGAACTCCAACATGAGATCATTTCAGTAATCCAGCATGTACACCCCAAAGTATGTGTAGGTTCTTCCCTCTGGAGTGAAAACAGTGGCATAAGTGGTCACTGAGCTGTGATGGTGATGAGGTACTTCTCACCTACTGTAATCTATGGAAAATAGTTTCAGTAGTAGTAAATCTTACTGCAGTACAGCAAAGAAATTCAAACACTGGATATTCTTTCAAGGCTGAACCACAACCTCTGCCTTGAGACTGCTGTACAATAGCAACATTAATCCATTCCACTACAAAGCCATCATGTTTCTCAGCTGAAAAGATTAAACATATGTGTGTGTAAATGACAACTAAGCAAACCTGACATATGAATTTCTTTTAGCATCAAAAGGCAAAGTGACAGCAGGAAACCAAACATTGTTCTTGCCCATCACATTCAGCACATTTTTAAAGCTTATAGACAGTAGATTATGCTGTACAGCATATGTATATATGTTTCAACTATTTAGGTCTGTCATATCTAGGTTCTCGATATATTAATTATCTCTCCTTTATCCATGAAATACAATGGAAAGGAGGAAAAGCTAGTTAAAATGCATTAAATATGGCTTTCTAACAGTGAGGTGCATGTGATGATTGTTGTATTATTACAAGTCCCCAGAGTAGAAAATGAGACGAGCTTGCAGATAAACCGTATTCAGCCTTTATTGAACAGCTGCTTGAACAACCACACCATACGTGCCTTCTTGACCTTATTTGCATATATCACGTAACATAACTGCATACTACAACATCTCCCTTTCTGAAATAAACACTGTCTAATAGCTTAATTTCCTTTCTCTGCTTGAGTGTATACATTCTAATAGGTTTCCTTTTGTTTTGAAAGTAAAAGGTCAAAATAAACTACATTTCTCCGTTAACACATATGCAACATTTTTTTTTCTAGAAAGCTGTGGTTAGACTACCCAACTTTCGACTGAGTGTAGGGATTATTCTACCCCAGGGCTCACTCAGTTTTTCCAAAGGCACCTGCTGCTAACAAAGTCTTTCAGGTGCTTTGGAAGGTGATGTTCTCTTTCTGGGTATCTTCTCTCCCCTCCAGCTGCTAAGTGAGGAGTCTCTGCAACAGGGTTTGGGGGAGGCGTGGCATCAGCTGGGTCTGGAGAGCTGATAGCTGACAGACTGTTGGTTCCTCAGGTGCAACAGACGTTGTCACTAGATGAGCTCTGTTTCTTCGCAGGATACCCCTTGGTGTGTCTATGAGGTATGACCTGGGCTGCTTTATTTTTTGACAACACAGTTCCTCTCTCTTTCATGTCCTTCACCCAAACATACTCCCCAGCATTCAAACAAGTCAGATCACGAGCTCTATGTCTCTTGTTAAAGTTTCTCTGCTGCTGCTGCTGCCTGTTGTAGTGCTTTTTCTGTTTGAGTTTGTGAAGATCTGTCCAGCCTGGATTCAGCTGCGAAGAACTGACTGGAATAGGAGTACGGATCTTTCTTCCCATGAGCAATTCTGTAGGGCTGTGGCCATTTGCTAGGGGAGTTGCGCGATACGCCATCAATGAAAGATATGGGTCTTTTGCTTTTTCAAGGAGGTTCTTTACAGTTCTCACTGCACGTTCCACCTCACCATTGCTTTGTGGAAATCATGGGCTGGAAGTTTCATGTTGGAAGTCCCATTCCGAAGCAAACTTCCTAAAGCTCTCAGATGAGAACTGTGGGCCGTTGTCTGTGCGGACAACAGCAGCAATACCATGCCGTGTAAAGATAGATTTGAAGTGTTCAATTACTGCTTCTGAGGAAGTTGAGGTGAGCTTTGCCACTTCAAAGAATCTGGAGAAGTAATCCACCACGAGTAAGTACTGCTGATCTTTAAACTGAAAGAGGTCTGCTCTGACTTTGTACCAGGGCAGATCTGGAAATTCAGAAGGGAGGAATGTCTCTTTCAAGTTTATTCTTTCTTTTGCACACACGTCACAGTTCTTGATTTCATTGTTTAACTGTGTACTTAGGCCCAGCCACCATACTGACTGTTTGGCCCTTTCTCTGCTTTTTGTAATACCAAGGTGACCCTCGTGTAGCTTTCTCAGGATATCAGCTCTCAGTGGCGGCGGAATTACTAATCTTTGCCCTTTTAGAAGCAATCCATTTTCCACTGTGAGCTCACCCGCAAAGGGCAAATACAGCTGAAAGGTTTGTTCGATGGAAAACTTGTCTGGCCATCCTTCAATGCAGAATTTCTTTAACTGCCGCAGAACTGCATCTTGATCCTGGTATTTCCGAATTTGATCCAGTCTCTTTTCTGTGGCAGGTATACTAGCCATCACAGCGTCTACATGGAGATTGGTTCCTTCTTCTAGCTTCTGGTCCCCTGTGCCTTCCACCGGAGCTCTAGAGAGCACATCCGCCAAAGCTATACTCTTACTAGCCACATGTGAGATTGTATACGAGTATCGCATTAGTCGCATTCGCAGATGCTGTATTCGAGGAGATAACTCGTCCAGGTTTTTTGAGCCTAGGAGTGAGACCAACGGTTTATGGTCTGTTGTGAAACGTGATGCCGACAAGGAATTCTGAAAATTGTTCACATGCCCAGGTGGTGGCAAGGGCTTCCTTTTCAATTTGAGCATATTTTTGTTCTGTGCTGCTCAGTGCTCTCGAAGCGTATGCTACCAGTTTCACCTGCTGATTTTCCTGCTTCCGCAGAAGTACTGCACCCAGCCCGTATGAGGATGCATCAGCCGAAACTGTTTCTGCTTTTGGGTTATACAGAGCCAGACATGGTGGGGTGCTTAGCTGCCTCTTGATTTCTTCAAATGCTTTCTGCTGGGCACATCCCCACGTTCACATGTTTCCTTTCCTCAGTAGGTCTCTGAGGGGTCTAGTTTGCTCTGCTAAATGAGGCAGGAATTTCCCTAGGTGGTTCACCATACCTAGGAAACGCCTAACCTCCCCGACATTTCCTGGTTCTGGCATGACGGACACAGCTTGCACTTTGGCTGGGTCAGTGCTCACCCCTGACCCTTCCACTATCTGGCCCAAAAACTTTATTCTGGTTTTTGAGAACTCACACTTGTTGTTCAGTGTCACTCCTGCATCTTGAAGTCTGGTTAGTGCTGCTGTGAGTTGCTGGTCATGCTCTGCTTGTGTTCTCTCGAAGACAAGAATATCGTCCGTCTGGCACACAACACCTTCAAGCCCCTCCAGAATCTCTGTCATTCTTTTTTGAAAATGTTCCGGTGCTGACGATATGCCAAAGCACATTAGATTGAAGTTGCTTTTAAGCATATCCTGCTGCTTCTTGACCAGTTCGCTTTGTCGAACTCTACTAACTGCTCTTTCCAGCGTCAGTTCGGGGTCCATTTGCAACTGTTCAGACAGCTTCTTATCACGTAAGCTGTCCACGAGTCTGTCCCGTATCATTTCATTGTGTAATGCGCCATAGCCGCAGTGCTCCAAAAGACAATAAAGAGCTGTGATGAAACTATAAGCACTTTCTCCTATTTCTTGCTGTGTTTGATTGAATTTAGCTCGGTCAAATATCACATTCCTACAAACTACGAAGTGAGCGTCTAGCTTAGCCTTTACCACGCTGTACTCACTGGATTCCTCTGCCGTGAGTCAAAGCGATGTAAGCACGTCCTCGGCTTCTTCACCCATCGTATAAATCAGGGTATTAACCTGATTTTCTTCAGCCTGAAGTTCTAAACCCGAAGCGATTCAGAATCTTTCGAACCTTTTTATCCATTTCGGCCACTCTTCTTGTTTACTGAAGTTAAACTTCACCGGTGGGGGAACTTGAAACCATTCTCTTCTCTGCACCCCTAGTTTCGCTAACATTTAGCTTGTTAAGCTAACAGCTTGGGTAGCCTGTAACTCGCTGACTAAGTCTCGAAACAACCGCTTTTTTTTTTTTTTAAAAAAACATCTGCCAATAGTGAATTCTGACACCATGTTGTATTATTACCCCAGAGTAGAAACTGAGATGAGCTTGCAGATAAACCATATTCAGCCTTTATTGAACAGCTGCTTGCACAACCACACCATACATGCCTTCTTGACCTCATTTGCATATATCACGCAACATAACTGCATACTACAACAATGATATCAATGTTTCCATTGCTGATGTTGGTGAGCTTTTTTAAATAAAAGCTAATGTTAATGAAACCAGTTACAGCACTGTTATGATGCGGTATTATAACTGTGAACAATTCTGGTAAGAGGGCTGTTTAAAAGATTATTATAATTTAAATTCAGTAATTTTATCAAATTATATTACTAAATAGGAATCTTATTTTATTTATTATAGCATATCTATAATGTTAATATCTAGCATGAAACAGGTGGTATGAGCAGTGTGTGTTTGTCATAATGGTAAGTGACACTGTTATTTTACTGAACAAAATCTGTCATGACAACTCATGACAGCATATGACATCTATAAATGTCATGGTTATTTCACTGTTATGTAGCAAGGCTGAAGTAAGGTGTTACAGTATTTTTCATGCTATAATGTTTACTGGTCTAGTGGTAGAGCAATAGAAAAAATAAAAAATGACAGCTGTAGGGTAGGGTAGCCAGTGCGGATTAAGTGAACCCCTTAATCATTTAGGTCCTCTGCTGGCCGCTCTGCATTCCAGTGTAATGGTGCAATTCACTGTAAAGTGAACTAAACTTCTAATTGTCATTTTTACCTGGTTTTGTTAAACTTTAAAAAAAAAATAAATAAAAAAAACAGTAATGAGCCGATTAACTTGAAAATTGTCATGAAAATTGTCAAAGCTGAACAGATAAACCTGTGTTTTTGTGGATGGGAGGCCAAGATGCAGAGAAAAATGTTTTCATAAATAAAAATGGGCTTTCGCTAGCTTTAGCTTTAGATGCTTTGCCTTTGCTAGTTTTTTTTAATTGGCCATGTTCAGCAGGGTGATGATGTTTTAAATGTCTGAAGTTTTGTTCTGAACGCTTTCATGGCTGCACATCCACAGCTTATTTATTATCGAGCTGCGGGTTGTCCGCTAATTGCAGGGTTGGTAGTTGGTAGTTGGTCGTTCAATCCCAGATGCTGCCTGTCCATGGCTGAATTACTGTTGACCAAGACACCCATAAAGGTTCCCCAGGCACTGCATCTATAGCTGCCCACTTCTCCTGTCCTCCTATCTAAAGCTTGATGTCAACCCAACGTTGTTTTCTGATGAATATCTGATTTTGATTTCCAACAAAACTTCATCTTTCGATGTCAAGTCAACATTGGGTTTTGACATCAACCCAATTTTCAATTGCAACCAATGTTCAATATCTATCTGTAATATACAATATTATGTTCACAATGATGTACAAGTGTGAATCAAATAAATTCCATGCATTACATATTTTCAGTTATGTTTGTTTTGCATATGTGACATACTTGGGACTGTTTTCAGCAGGTACTCATACCACTGTCTCAATGTGGAATCTCCCATCATCAGAACCTGCTTCTCTTTCAAGCATGTTGCAGTCTGATTGGCTGTGTCAAAGGACTGGGCATGGCACATCAGTGACGTCCATTTATCATGAAGATAGAATCCAGCTGGTGAGGGCGTGTCTAGTCCTGGAACACACTTAACATTCATACCTTTACACACACATGAACACACACCCACACACATGCACATGTTTAAACGGTGAGTTGGAAAGTTTTTCTGCTTTTAGGCATGTTCATGCTAAGCAATTAATTCCTAAGCTTACAGTGTCAGAATTGTTCACAGTGATGGTGATAGGAGCCATGGTCTGTACCACATTATTTGTTTAGTAACCATGATAACCTTAGTTACGAATAAATTTAGGACAGTAACTATTGCAGAGCAACAATTCTTCATAATCTTATTATACCTCTTAACTATCCATTTCTATTGTTTTTGGACAACTGTTACTGGCAGCGTAATTCACTACTAGCATAATGACGTTATATGTATTTATATTGCAAAACTGTGGATTCACTTGTGAGATGTTTTTTTTTTTCTTTCTGCATTTTAAAAATCATAGACACTTCAGGCAGGTTTACCAGTTTGAATTTATCTATTCAGGTTGCTGATGCTTGGCCAGCGATCTATGTGCCAATATCAAACGCATATCTTCACTATTATTTTATTGCTCATCTGTTATTTACATGTGCTTATGCTGCAAGAACGATATCAAGAGCAAAATGTTAAAACAGATCATGCAGACAAAGCTCTGCTACATTCTCTGAAAAAAAGACATGAAACTGTCAAACTGTCACTGGGGCAGTACCCCTCTTGTCACTAGGGTGGTATCCTCAAGGGTACATCTAAGTACCTTTAGTCATAATAATACCATATATATATATATATATATATATATATATATATATATATATATATATATTTTGTATTGATTCCACACACCCCGTCTCCTCTCCAGGCTTTTTTTTTTTCATTTTATAGTTCGGTTTTAAAACATTAGGTTACGAAAAGGTACAGATACGTACTTTTCACCTGGGAAAAACTTACTTAAGGTACACAAGTGGACCCACTGTTGTAACTTTGTTTGGTTTGGATCATCATAAAAATCTGTTCCTATCAAGTGAACTGAAGCAGGATGCTCTTAGATGCTGACTGAGACCCATTTTTGCTGGACTGCAGTTCAATTCTTTGATGTGGACCTGAATATGGTAGAGTGTTCACATGTTAGTTTAACAAGGTAGTATTAGAACATATTTAAGTTTATATTAGCAAACTGACATACATGAACTGGGACCCAGTGCATTAGTTCATGTATTGCAGTAAAAACCTTTTTACTGTTTTTACCAGATGGCCAGATTTTTTTTGTTGTTTTTTACCAGATTTTTACCAGATCTTCTCATTAACCACAAACTCACAAAGGTTTTACTGTTTGAGAAATGCTGAAATTGGCTCTGCCAATGAGTTTGTCCCTGTGCGTCTATAGGTTAGCGCTGTGTGCAGTTTAGGGAGAGAGGAGATTTTCTCAAGTAATTCAATCAAAAAGTGCTGGTTCCCCGCCCTGGTACTTTGAAAAGTGGGGGGTAACATGCCTGCTCACCCCTGTGGTTCTAGCAGCAATGCTCTTCATATCTGTACGTCTGTCATCTTGGACAAACATATGAGAGGAATAGATCTACTTCATTCTGTACCACTTTATAAGATGGGTGAATGTCATCTGGTGAGTAGTGACATGATGTCATTTGCCAAACATCAATAATCACAACCGGCAGCTCCCTAAACATCATCCTCAATGCACAGTCCAGCTGCCATGACAACCAGTCGCTGCCATAAATGTCCTTGTAGCCTGTGTTGGCTGACTTGACCAGCACAAGGGTCTGCGGTGCCCTCTGGAGGAGGGCTCGGATCGCTCTGCGGATTCCAGCCAGCCTTTTTAGGTACGTGGCCAGCGGAAAGGTAGTGAAGTGCGCCCAGATGGTGAAGACCACAACAGAATGTTGACCTCCAGCTAGAGCGGCCACCTCGGAGGCAATGTAGTGTAAGTCAGCACGGGGGGTCAGAGAAGTCCGTATTGGAAGGCCATGAGCTCTCCATATTAGTCGAATGTTGTTGCCTGTGTCCACTGCCTCAAACGGTCCAGACTTGGCCGAGGTGTACAGGTTTAGTTGCTTGAGTGCTAAAAGAAGGGAGAAGGATGAGAAGATATCGTGTCAGAATGCTAGAACTAAGGCTTTCCTCTCCAGGCTTTTTTTTTTTTCATTTTATAGTTCGGTTTTAAAACATTAGGTTACGAAAAGGTACAGATACGTACTTTTCACCTGGGAAAAACTTACTTAAGGTACACAAGTGGACCCACTGTTGTAACTTTGTTTGGTTTGGATCATCATAAAAATCTGTTCCTATCAAGTGAACTGAAGCAGGATGCTCTTAGATGCTGACTGAGACCCATTTTTGCTGGACTGCAGTTCAATTCTTTGATGTGGACCTGAATATGGTAGAGTGTTCACATGTTAGTTTAACAAGGTAGTATTAGAACATATTTAAGTTTATATTAGCAAACTGACATACATGAACTGAGACCCAGTGCATTAGTTCATGTATTGCAGTAAAAACCTTTTTACTGTTTTTACCAGATTGCCAGATTTTTTTGTTGTTTTTTACCAGATTTTTACCAGATCTTCTCATTAACCACAAACTCACAAAGGTTTTACTGTTTGAGAAATGCTGAAATTGGCTCTGCCAATGAGTTTGTCCCTGTGCGTCTATAGGTTAGCGCTGTGTGCAGTTTAGGGAGAGAGGAGATTTTCTCAAGTAATTCAATCAAAAAGTGCTGGTTCCCCGCCCTGGTACTTTGAAAAGTGGGGGGTAACATGCCTGCTCACCCCTGTGGTTCTAGCAGCAATGCTCTTCATATCTGTACGTCTGTCATCTTGGACAAACATATGAGAGGAATAGATCTACTTCATTCTGTACCACTTTATAAGATGGGTGAATGTCATCTGGTGAGTAGTGACATGATGTCATTTGCCAAACATCAATAATCACAACCGGCAGCTCCCTAAACATCATCCTCAATGCACAGTCCAGCTGCCATGACAACCAGTCGCTGCCATAAATGTCCTTGTAGCCTGTGTTGGCTGACTTGACCAGCACAAGGGTCTGCGGTGCCCTCTGGAGGAGGGCTCGGATCGCTCTGCGGATTCCAGCCAGCCTTTTTAGGTACGTGGCCAGCGGAAAGGTAGTGAAGTGCGCCCAGATGGTGAAGACCACAACAGAATGTTGACCTCCAGCTAGAGCGGCCACCTCGGAGGCAATGTAGTGTAAGTCAGCACGGGGGGTCAGAGAAGTCCGTATTGGAAGGCCATGAGCTCTCCATATTAGTCGAATGTTGTTGCCTGTGTCCACTGCCTCAAACGGTCCAGACTTGGCCGAGGTGTACAGGTTTAGTTGCTTGAGTGCTAAAAGAAGGGAGAAGGATGAGAAGATATCGTGTCAGAATGCTAGAACGACATGGATGTTGGAAGGTATTCTTCACACACAAAAGTGTACTGTCCAGGTCAACTTTAGTTCTCACCGATGCGAACAAACAACAACATGTAAACAAGGTACAAAGAGGTCATTAAAGCAGCACTATGTCATTTTTTTTTTTCTGTCAACATTAAAACATAGTAGCATTACTACATAAAAAGAAGGTCTGGCTCGATGTTTGGGTCTTAAATGCAAAATCAACATTACACTGATGACAATGTTAGATGATTCACTTACACCCTCAGAAGACACATCCTTTACCAGGTTTTGAGTTAGTTCTCGCAATAGTTAGATTCATCCACTAGGGTAGGGAGTCTGAAGCACAACCGACATTACAAAATGTTCTTCTGCACATGTGTGCAGTTACACATTTCCACCAGAGAGGTCTCCAAATCCCCAAAACTTACAAAGTGTTATACTCACAAAGGGGTGAGACATATTGAAAAACAAGGAATACGAAAATGGTATGAGTAGTAGAACTCCAACATGAGATCATTAGAATAATCCAGTATGTACACCCCAAAGTATGTGTAGGTTCTTCGCTCTGGGTTGAAAACTGTAGCATAAGTGGTCACTGCGATTTGCTGGTGATGAGTTACTTCCCACTTACTGTTATCTATGGAAAATAGTTTCAGCAGTAAGAAATCTTACTACATTACTTCCATTTACAAGATGTAAACAACAGATGTCCTTTGAAGGCTGAACCATTCCCATGTCATCATGTTTTTTTCAGCTGAACAAGGCTTTCAGTTTGTCTTTCGGCTTTCTCCACATACTACCTCCACATCTAATGAGAAAAGTGTGTTACTCCTTGTACATGTTTTCACCACTCTGAGCTCTGGGGCCTGTGTTCTTGAGTCTTTGAATGGATCACACATTAAATGCTTCATGCTGCTTTAGAAATTAAAATATTATTTTTAAAACATGTTGCATAGGAACAGCTTGGTAATGATCATATATAGTTTTACAGTAATGCAGGGTATTAAACATATAAAAACAAGCATTGTAGAATTTGCATTTTAAAGGAATAAAAATTTTCTTGAAAATGGCATACTAAGCTAGCATTTTAAGGTTCTGTTTACAGACCAGTCAATGCAGCTGATGAATGTGGGATAATCAATCAAAATTCATGTTCTATCCATGTGCCAATCTCAGTGATAAACTCTTTATGGTGCTTAGTAGCCTGGCTAAGATAAATTAATTAACCTCTAGATTAGAAGAAATCATAATAGCAAAAGGCTGAAAGGGTAGTAATACTGGCCACTGGCCAGGTAATTTAAAATATAGTTTTTTCCAAGTTAGAAGCTGTTATTTAGCTAGTGATTGCCAATGGTGTTAATGTAAGTTGGCTTGGTAGCGAAATAGCTGAATTATCATCTCTACAAAACAGAGAACTGACTAGCTGAAATCTGATTTCAAGGCTCGGCCATTGCTCAGCTAATCTTTCGAGGTCACTGTGCTTGAAAATTGCTGTTAGTCAGCTAGGTAACTAATATCCAGCTTAATTAACAAAATTACCTAATATAAAAAGCAGCAGGAGAGTGAAAGGGACCCTCTTGAAATAAAGGTGCCAAAAAGGGTTCTTTGCATGATTTTGCTATAGAAGAACCACTTTTGATTTCTTGAAGAACCTTTTAATTAATAGTTCTGCAGAGAGCCATTTTTGTAAATGAGATATGTGATTGTGAAAAACCTTAAGGTATGAAGAAGAAAGTCTAAGAAGAACCATTACATTGGTATAGCATACTTACATTTAAATGCATTAATTTCAGCTCAAATTTTGCTTTCAAACACAGTTCATTAGGGAACCAAAAGAGGCTCTTGCATCAAACAAAACTTTGTAGGACCTTTATTTTTAAGTGTGTATTTGCTACATTAACCTGTTGTAAAACAGAGTGAAATAAAGTTAGAACAGCTGTGTGTAAATGACAGCAAAGAAAAGGAAACCTGACAATTGAACTTCCTTTAGAAGCCAAACGCAAAGTGCCAGCAAGAAGTCAAGCATTGTTTTTGCCTCTAGCATTTAATGGACCTGAATATAGCTGCTCAGCTGCTAAACACATTTTTAAAGCATACAGACAGTAGATTATGTTATACAACATATGTGTATATGTTTCAACAATTTAATGGGGCTCTTATATCTATGTTCTTGATATTTAACCTTTTTATCCATGAAATTCAGTAGAAAGGAGGAAGAACATGTTGGTTGAAATGTACTATTCTAATTAGATAAGGCTTTATAACAGTGAAGTGCATGTAATGATACCACTAGTTCTATTGCTGAGGTTGGTGAGCTGTTTTGTATAAAGCTAATGGTAATGAAGTTACAACACTGTTATGATGCTGTAATAAAACTGTAAATAATTCTGGTAAAAGGCAGAATGCTGCATGTCCATGTAAAAGATGATTTTATTTTAATTTATTTTTATTTATTATATTAAATAATTTAAAAAATATTGAAAATCCATAATTATAGCCAATTTCAACATGGGTTACATTTTAGATGACTAGATAGTTCCCTTTTTCTAATCAAAATATTCTAGTTTTGATTTGTAACAAAAATTTGTACACATTTTTTCAATGCTATTTTTTACTATGAAACACCCAACAAAATCAAGGCTTACAGCAATTAAAAGTGTTCTGTTGATCAGATATGGAGAAAGAGGAGTCTGACAGGATTACTCAGCAGCAATAACATGGAAATTAAAGAGTCAAAAGTTTTAAAATCTTTGTTTAGCGATGTGTTTCAACAGTTATTTTAGCTGCTGTTATACATTTTCCCTTTTCTTTTTTTTGTAGTTATTTCCTATCTATTCTAGCCCTCACTAAACTAAAGAGTCCCCTCATGACGGGTCACATGGCTAGCAGATGTCCACCTCAATTAGGTGTTTCCTAACTTACAGTGCAGGGGGGTTCTTGTCCCTAGTAGGGGACTAGAGCAGAATGTCTACTGTCCTCAGTATGCGCACAAACAGCTACTTGTATACCTCACAACAGACTATTTGTTGTCCTGATTGCTCTTAACAAGCAATAGCTGTAGGACAAATACTATGTCCCCATTGGAAAGCTGTTGGTCAGACTGGGTTTAAAAGAGATAAGGGGTGCGCTCTTTTCAAATAAAGAATATCCTTCCTGCAAAACCTTGTCCTCCTGACCTCTCTTCCTGCCGAAAGACAAAGACTTACAACACTGCTTTACTAAATACGTAGTTAGCAAAGTTCATGCCAGCCAGTTAGCCAGTCCAGTGCGAGTGAGAAAACTTTGATAAGCAAACATATATTTCATTCAGTATTGATGATTTGGTCCATTATTTCCATGGTTGAGAAATATTTGTTTTGATCCATAGGGACTTTTCAGAGCCTTTATGAATCAACTAAACTGGCTAGCTAGCCTGATATCTCTGTTTTCTGTCCCTTTCCAGTTTGTCTCAGGCTCTTTACACTGACCGAACAAGTGTGTGAGGACGCTTCTCATACATTGTCGTTGAGCAGTCACAACTAGAGCCAAAACTAACTTTGCTTAATTGTCTTTGTATAAATGCTGGTTATCTCTTACTTCTATCTTCAGTTCAGTTCAGTTTAGTTCAGTTCAAAGAAACATGGAGACTTTGTGAAACTGTAGCTGGAGAAAGTTCTTAGATTAGTTATGCAGCCTTAAGCAATGTGGGTATGACATGGTGATGATCACATCCATTGCTAGGATATAATAGTGAAGAACTTCAGTAGTTGTTATAGACAGCTCATTTCATATTCCTGTTCTTTACGTCCAGGTATTCTCATTTTTACAATGTATTTTCAATACTACAAGTAGAATGCCTTTTACAATTTCAGTGTGCATTACCCCTTCAGAGCTGAACTGACAGCTCTGTGTTAATTTCTATCTCTAGGATTTGTTTTCATATGAAAGAGGTGGGAGTCGGCTTTAAAGTGAACTTAACTAGTAATTGTCTTTTTTGCTGGTTTTGTGATTAAACCATTTTGTTTAAAAAAGCAATCAACGAGTATCTGACTTTGAAAACTGTCAGGAATCCACAAAAGCATTCTAAAATTCTGCTGTGGGTTAAAGATGCCCTACAATCAAAATTGTGTTTTTAAATGGTTAACTCCTCTTGGATGGCTTAATACGGTAATATAGACTATTTGTATAAAATGTGCTACACACCACATTTTTCCAGTCCCTGAGATCCAAGCACAGATGATAGCTGCGGGAAGCAGCATGACGCTGCGCTGCCAATAGCAAACCAGGACCAGCTGGTTCTCATTAAAGGCAGCATGAGCATGTGAGCCAAAAAGAGAGAAAGAACTTGTTGCTCGACTCCCCCTGCTCTGTGGCCTCAGCCATCATATCCCACGGCGTTAGCATGAAGTGAGATTTGGCCACTACGTCTGAGGGAGGGACTTGATCACCAGACTTTGCTGCTTCCCTTCTAGCAGCAGTAGACTATCATGTAACAGTTTCACTAAAAGTTTATTTCAACTCACTAAAGCCTTACTGATGGAAGTTTAGAGAATAAAGACTAAAATCTGAGCAAGTAAACCTGCATATTTGTGTGTTAAGTGGTTAGCCTAAACTATTTTTGCTCCACATTCAACCATGTTTGCTAGAAGCTAGCGTTAGCCTAGTGAGAAAACCTAAGCTTTGCACAAAACTATGCAAGTTCATTCTGGCTCACTGAGACTCACTTTTGACCCAGATTTGGGCAGATGACATGTATTGTGTGCTCTTAGCCTAAGTTACTCTTAATTTATATCCCCTAGAGCACCTGAGGCTAGACACAGCACATATGACACAGCAAAGCTTCTGGAGTTTTTAAAGAGCTCAGTGTCACTGATGGACTGATGTACACCAACCAAAAATATCCAGCCAGCGCAGCAACAAAGCTATTGTCTCCTATACATCTACAAGGTGGAAAATGTCAGTGTCACTGCAGTTCTAAGAATGATCCACAACTCAAATAATACTGGCTCTGTGGTGGTCCTGACCATTGGAGAATGCAGTAAAAAGGGTATTAAGAAACATATGTGGAAAAAAGATACAGTTTGTCATTGTTCAACAACTCGGTTGGATGCGTCAATAATATTTTTAATAAATTCCACAACCCTTTGGCAACAAAGCAAATCCTTTAGGTTGGGGTTGCCAGCAAGCTAGCTATCTTGTTAACAATAAATAGCAATAACACAAAAGTAGACTTTAAAATTACTGCTGTTATATATAACATTTTGTTTGTGTAAAGTGTGAATCAAATAAATTCCATGTATTATTATTTTTTTATGTATGTTTTGCATATGTGACATACTTGGGACAGTTTTCAGCAGATACTCGTACCACTGTCTCAACGTGGAATCTCCCATCATCAGAACCTGCTTGTCTTTCAAGCATATTGCAATCTGATTGGCTGTAGGGAAAGACTGGGCATGGCACATCAGCGACGTCCATTTATCATTCAGGTAGAACCCAGCTGGTGAGGGTGCGTCTAGTCCTGGAACACACTTCACGCTCCTACCTTTACACACACATGCATCCACACACGTTCAGACACATGCACATGTTTAAACAGTGAGTTGGACAGTTTTTGCTTTCTGTCATGTTCATCACTATGCAATACGTTCATAAGCCAGAGGCAGATCCAGGCAAAGACATGAATGGGGCCCTTCTCAAATTACAATTTACAGCTAATATAAAGCGAGATTTCATTTCATTCATATTTCTGCACAGTTAACTGGTTAAATTGTCAACAGTCATTCAGAGTTCTTTGATGTGAAAGAGTGAAAGTGTTTACATGCGCTTAATAATCCCATTTAGCAGTTATCTGATTACTCAAGTGGACATACAAACAGCATATTCAGATTTCTTAGCTCATATAAGGCCTAGTAATATAACAAAGAAATCTGATAAAGAGATTTTGTTTTTTGCTCAGTAGTCAGGTTTTCAAAGCATGTATAGCCTCACTCTGATTTTTGGAATTTTTCTCAGTCTGTGCACGTGCAAAAACAGACTGCTGTCCCAGAAACAGCAAGCAACATTTAAAACAGTACTTGTGAAATGGCAACAAAACAAGGCTGAAACCAACTACATGCTTGACAAAATGAAGAATCTGAATGTTCTTTATCTTCTAGATGATGTAAATTCACGTTTTCTGCCAAAGTGTACCAATGTTTAAAAAAAAAAAAAGCTGAAGCATGACATTTGAGTTTTACATTACATTTACATCGTCTTATTCTGTGAGTTTATTGGCTGGTTGCAAAGCAGAAATCCAATTACTGTTTTGCAACTGATTGATGTACACCTGGAGCTTCCCCATTATCTGATCACCCAAGTGCATGTGAGTGTGTTAAATTAATAACTGACAAAATCAAATTTTCTGCAGCTGTCTGATTACTAGATGCATGTAATCACATTCATTGCTGTGGAATCACATACCAAAATGGAATATTCCCATTATAGCCTAGACTGGGAGAGGAATTATTGTCAGCACTGAAAATAATCACTATAATAACAAATAAACGCCCTTTTAGTATGCTTCATTTTTTGGCATTATGGTCATTTAAAACAATTGTTCAGTGAAAGATCAAGTCCCTTTACCCTGACCACTTCTTACTGTCTCTGTGGCCATTAAATATAATCTTGTCAAAATGTTCTCAGCTTTGGAGACTGTCTTTTTGTGCAGGCACTTACTTGAGTTCAGGTCATGATGAGACACATTCACTGTGATATCTCCAGGTAGATATTTATTGGTGTAGTCACTGCAGACAGAAGAGGGGAAAGAGTTTTCTGTATTAATTGTAAAAGTATTCACATTTGCAAGTGCACAGCTGATAAATCAGTGTGAGTGCAGAAGTATTTTTCTGTGCACATGAAGTCTTCAATGAGCTACAGGTTTTTTTGTATTTTTTGCATTTATTTCAGTGGAAATAATGGAGTGTTCAGTGGAGCTTTATCAGCCCTCCAACTCTTCCTAGAGGTATTCTGTGGTGCTTTGTCACTCCAACTTACACCAAAGGTGTTCACTGGATCTTCATCACTTTAACTCATCTCAAAGATATTCACAGCATCTTCATCACTCCAGCTGAGAATTTAAGAACCTTATTTTCACTGCCAAATGTCAGAATAAGTTCCAAGGTGTACCTAAATTTGTGAGAAGGTACTCAGACATCCAGGCTGGCCCAAGATATATTTTGATTATGCCTATAACTGTATCCAGAGGGAGTACATAGATTTAAAACACTGTAATTGTTTGGTTTAAGCCATGTTTCAGTTAAAAAGAGAAAGCTTAAATCTTTGGCCTTGAGAAAATATGTACATTCATGCCCTTGTGAGTGAGAGATCTTGTGTTTAGTAAACCCAGGACTAATCATGTTATGTAAAGACTATATTACTTGTACTTTAGGGTGGTTTGCTGGGTTAGCACAACAATACTGCTTCATCCTAAAGAACCCTAGTGGGGTGGTGAAGGTGAAGGATTCTATGGTAGGTGTCCAACACAAGGTGTTGAGAATAGTTTATGACAAAATGAAACATAAAGAGAGACTTTTCTCTTTTTTAAGGCTATAAGTTCTCAAACCAGCCTTAAGGACCGTCGAGATGGTCCATGTTTTTGCAAACACACACACACACACACACACACACACACACACGCACACACACACATACACACACACAAATACAACCACCAGGTTTCTGTTTGCTTTGCAGGTGATCTGTAGTGTTTGCCGCTGTGTGGCAGCAGTTGCCAGTCCTCTAAGAGATAGTGTCCTGTTACAGTCACTTAGGAATCGACTGTCCTAGACATCCATGCATTGCAAGTTAATGCAATCCTTTCTGCTGTACTCATAGATTCTTCAACTTCAAGCTTTACTTCTCTGAAGAACTTTGATACAACTGTGTTGGTGAAAAAAGTCACATACCTGGCTTCTAGTGGACGAGTACGCAGACACAGTCACCGCCTTCATACGCAAGTGTGTTGATGACGTAGTGCCCTGCAGACAAGTCCGCGTTTACCCCAATCAGAAGCCCTGGCTGAACTGTGAGGTTCGCTCCGCCCTCAGCGCACGCAGCGCTGCATTCAGAGCGGGAAATACGGAGGAGTACAAGCAATCCAACTACGCTCTCCGTAAATCCATCAGAGCAGCTAAACGTGCGTACAGAATGAAAGTGGAAGCACAGTTCAACACAGCCAACACACGAAGCTTATGGCAGGGGTTAAATACAATCTCTGACTATAAAACTGCCTCTCGCACTCTGCCCAGTACCAGCGCTGATCTGCCGGACGAGCTTAATAACTTCTACGCTCGCTTCGACGGGATTCCCGCAGCACCACTGGAGAGCGCCCCGCCCACCGCTGATCCCAACGCCCCCTCCGTCTCCGTAGCTGATGTGTGCAAAGCCTTCAAGAGGGTGAACCCACGCAAGTCAGCAGGACCAGATGGCATTCCCGGGAGAGTGCTTAAAGCCTGCTACAGGGAACTAGCAGGAGTTTTTGCAGACATCTATAACACCTCACTGTCTCTCTCGGTCGTGCCAGCTAGTTTCAAACTAGCCACCATTGTGCCAGTTCCAAAGACAGCTAGTATTACCTGTCTGAACGACTGGCGACCTGTTTCCCTGACCTCCATCGTAAGCAAATGCTTTGAGAGGCTGGTCAGAGATATCATCTGTTCCTCACTGCCTGCCACCCTGGACCCACTGCAATTTGCATATAGGCGGAATAGATCCACCGACAATGCAATCGCCCTGACCCTGCACACTGCCCTCTCCCACCTGGAAAAGAAGGACACGTATGTGAGAATGCTGTTTGTAGACTACAGTTCAGCATTCAACACAATCGTTCCTTCGAGGCTCGACTGCAAGCTCCGGGATCTGGGTCTGAACAGCACACTGTGCAGCTGGATCCTGAACTTCCTGACGGACCGACGGCAGGTGGTAAGGATGGGAAGTATCACATCCTCCTCTTTGACCCTCAACATCGGAGCCCCCCAGGGTTGTGTGCTCAGCCCGCTCCTGTACTCCCTGTACACCCATGACTGCACTGCTAGACACAGCTCCAACGTCATCATAAAGTTTGCTGACGACACAACAGTTGTGGGCCTGATCTCCAACAACGATGAATCGGCCTACAGAGAGGAGGTTAAAATCCTGGAAAACTGGTGCCAGGAGAATAACCTCTCTCTAAACGTCAGTAAGACCAAGGAGCTGATCGTGGACTTCAGGAAGCAGGAGACAGTACACCCATCGATTTCCATCAATGGGACTGCGGTAGAGAGGGTCAGCAGCTTTAAGTTTCTCGGTGTTCACATCAGCGAGGACCTGACATGGGCAGTGCACACCTCACAGGTGGTGAAGAAGGCCCACCAGCGCCTCTACTTCCTCAGAAGGCTGAGGAGGTTTGGCCTGAACCCCAGCATCCTTAAGACCTTCTACACCTGCACTGTGGAAAGCATCCTGACGGGCAGCATCACCACCTGGTACGGGAACTGTACTGTTCGTGAGAGGAAATCTCTGCAGAGGGTGGTGCGGACAGCACAGTCCATCACCGGGGTTCAGCTCCCTAACCTATTGGATTTATACACCAGTCGCTGCCTGAGGAAATCCAGAAGGATTATGAAGGACCCCTCCCATCCTAGTCACTGTCTGTTCTCTCAGCTGCCGAGTGGTAGGAGGCTCAGAAGCTTAAAAGCCAGAACCAGTCGGCTCAAAGACAGCTTCTTCCCCCATGCAACCAGGCTATTGAACAGCCAGTAATCACTGCTCTGCCCAGCCCAACCCTTCCCATTACACGTACGTGCACCCACTGTACTCCCGCACTTTACTTGCATAGCTGGACTTTGAATACCTATCCAAAGACAATACTCTCCCCCTGCGCTTCCACTTAACTTCCTGTACCTTGCACTTTACTAAATACTCTGCCACCTACTGTACCATCTTCTACCTCCACACCTAGTGTGATTACTTGCACATCTACATAGCATTGTAATATCCATTACTATATATAGTATATAGTTGATTACACTCACTCTACATTCCCAGTGCAATATTATATGTCTCGGTGCAATATTATTATTTTTAAGTTATTGTGTAAGATTATATGTATATATTTTAGTTAAATTGGTTTTATCTATTCTTCTATCCTATCTATAGTTTTGTTTATCTATGTGTAAATACTGTTCTCTGCATAATTTGTGGAACTCGCACTCAAGTTTTTCACTCACCTGTGTCCCTGTACTCTTGTGATGTGACAATAAATCTGATTTGATTTGATTTGATTTGATTTGATTTTCTAGTGTCTCATGCATGTAACAAAAGCCCTTATTTTCCACAACGTTATATGGAGGCAGATCTTTGCACATGAAGTAGGTGATGGATTGTGTTATTTTCTTAGCTCTCAGAATTGGAAGGTAGCTTTGTCAAGCTAAGAGTGTCCAGTGTTGTTTGTTTTAATCGAGACGTTTCAATGTTGGCTTTGCTGTCATTGGTTAACGCAATCTCTGGATGGTGGCGTGTAAAGTGAGCCCTCATGTTCATAGTATTTTATTTTCATACAACAATCCTTTCAAACTGCATGGGTCATATCTATGTCCTTCATCCCTTCCTTGTTAAAAAATTCAAAATAATCCACATGTTTGATTTAAACATGGACGACGCATTTCTGATTCTTTTTCCGATCTTTGTTTTGACTTCTTCCACTGTCACTTTGGCTAAACTTACTTACCTAGCCTAACCTAACCCTAGTGGACTGAAAAAGCAATTGATTTTAATCAATCTTGTACCAAAAAGTTTAATGTGTATTTGCAATTAATATAATTAAATACTGATACTTGGCATCAGTATATCGGTACAGTATTTCCAGGCAATGTATTGTGATAATATGCTGTATTGATTTTGCCCCCCACCCCCCCCAGCATTTACCTGTGTAACAGTGTGGACTCCAGTTTGGACAGCTGTGCTTGGTAGCCTCCTATGATATGGTCCACCCAGGCTGAGCATGGCAGACGGCTGGGTTTACGACAAATCCATGATTCTCCAGTAATTGGATTTTTGTATTCACAGCAGCATTGAGAGTTCTTTAGCAACCTCTCACTCCTCTGGGCATTACACACCACTTTTTCCTCAATGTTGAACCTTCTGAACACGCCCTTGAAGAACACCTTGTCTGGATCTCGCTCTCTGTGCCTAAGTAGCACCTGTAATCCCAGCAAAAAAAAACTCAAATCAACACCATTACATTTAGTTCTCCTCCTCAAGCTCAGACCAGTTAATGTTCATAGTAAAAAGAAATTTACAGACGTTTTCTCCATTCCTGCTAAATGTAGCCAATCAACAAAAACATGTTTGGTGTCTGATGTTTGCTTCTTTAGTTTTGCACCGGAGCTATGTGTGCAATGTAGCTAACACACCCCATCAATTAGCAAGTGTGCAAACTGCATCTCTACATTTGCCTTGTAATTTCAGTTCAAAACTAAAGAAACAAACTTTAGACTTAATGTAACAAATAATTTTCTCCATGTCAGAGTAGAACCTGTCATTCCAGCAAAAAAACAGGTGAAATTAGATCCATCTCGCTAAGTTCCAGTCTCCTCCTTAAGTTAATTTCAGTTAATGTTCATGAAATCCTGCTTCAAATGTAGTTGATCAATCTAATTCTTGCCTAAGGTTTGTTTCTTTAAATTTCCATTAAAGCTGAGGGGGCTAATAAAGGTAACAAGTAATGGAAGATTCACCAACAATTAGCATCATGCAAGCTGTGTAGCTACATTACAATTCAAAAAAGTAAAGAAGCAAACTTCGGACACCAAACATTTGAGGTAAGGGTGAATTACATAAATTAGATTTTTTCGACAAACGACCACTTATATTAGTTCTACACAGCACTGCATTTGCTGCCCACTTATTAGGTACTCTCCACTAATTGTCCACTTACAATATAGGTGGGCTTTGCAGCTCTACAATTACAGACTGTAGTTCATCCAGGGACGCAATGTTATTATCAAGTTAGATGTTTTTTTTTTAAGTTTAAATACAATATTAAGCTGTTTTTGGTCTCTGGCCTCTATTTCTGGATACACTTTATTTCATTATACATCAACCTGTGTGTTTTTTAGTGATGCCATGATGCCATGCTGTTGAGGGACATGCTTCGGCTCACTGTAATGAAAATACAGCGTTAACTTAACCGGTGCACAGCTATGGTAGATTTTGAAAGTATATAAATGAAAATAGAAAAAATAAATACTCCTCTGTAAAATATGCACACATTAGTCTTTACTATGCTAATTATTACATTGTGTAGATCTCTTTATTATTATTTTTAATATTATTATTATGAGATCAGGAGATGATGCAGCACCCTCAGCAACCCCACTTTCCACATCCCTGAGTCCATCTGTTTCTCTGCAGAATTTGTAAGCTTCCCTTTCAACCCCATGTCAATCCAACCATTTTCCAAAAGTGGCGGGGGGGGTTATGACTGTATACTGTAACTGTATTTATGCTTAGTTGCATTTATTCTAATGATGTGGTGTTTTTACAAGCAAAAACATTCCTATTGTCATGAACAATGTTTTCTAATAATAGGCTTGGTCACTAGGATGTTTGCACTGTACTGTATATGGCAAGTGCATCTGATAGGGTAAACAAAACCTGTATATACATGGTAGAGGTACCTCATAAAGTGGTCGGTGAGTGTATAGTGCCCTATATAGTTGGTGAATACACTCTTTAAAGCACTACCCTACACACCTGTACAGCCTCACTGGAGTGTATCATCCTTATTGAGACTTTGGCTTGTCCTTCCCAGGACAGCTTGAAGGTAGCAGTATAAGTGCCGTTGTGGTGGTCAACCACCTCCCCATATACACTTGCTTTTAGTTCTGCATTAAACAGCTTTGCTTGGAAGAAATCTCCGCCGTATGCTTTTGAGTTGTTTAAACCATCTCTTGCTGTTATGATCACTGTGATATTGTCCCCAACACTGTAGTTTTTGTGTGGGTTCTGCAAAACGTATGAGCTTGTATGAGGACTAGTGGTCTGATTGGCTGCAATCACAGAGGTAGGAGGAGCTGGCCACTTCAGCGCCTTTTCTATGGATTGGAATTCTGCAGGCGAGATGAAGGTGGGGTCAGTTGAAAAGATGTGAGCAGAGTCAGACTGGGAGGCAGTTGGACAATTGGACAAGTTTGCAAGCTTTTTGTCCATCGATGGGACTGGCCTTCTCTCTGGTACTATTTGTGATATGTTGCTTATGAAATCACCAGACAGTCGTTCCTGCAATAAAGGATCAACAATGAGTTAGCCAGCACTACAACCAGGCCAAGTACATGCATGCACACTGGCAGTAAAAGTGACTTACTGATTATGATGTGCTTATCATGTCTGTTGGCTTAAAGGATGATATTCCAACAAGACAATGTAAGATACCACAAAGTTTGTTAAGTGAAATTCAGACAAGATTACTATGGATGATCTGTGGACAGCAGTGAAGAACATGTGGGATACAGTTACAGGTTATATGTCTTCATTTTAATCATATATGCTATTTTTAAATGCAAAAATATACTTGCATAATGGTTTCAAATAAGAAGCTAAGTGCCTAGCATGTTTGCAAAGTTCTGCATATGGTAAGTAGACCTGATAAAATGGACAATTAGTCTAGATACAAGGTAGGTGTTGCTAATAATTTGGCCAGTGAGTGTATAGTGCCCTACACAGCTCGTGGATACACTCTTCAAAGCACTAGCCTTTACACCCCTACAGCTTCATGCAATGTATCAGCCATACTGAAACTCTGACTAGTCCTTCCCAGAACAGTGAGTCATGGACAAAGCAAATATAGTCTACAACACGACTTACATGTGGCTGTCCAGAGAAAAACATTTAGCTCCAAACCTTTATATTTACTGGTGAAGGCAAAAACATTTTAACTTTTGATAAGATTATATAAATACATTTTATTCCAAGTGGTGTTACTGCAGTTAGTTCAGTTGGTCCATACATCATAAATCTTTAGACAACGTAAAGGACAACTGTTGGGATGAAATAAAAAATAAAAATTTACAAAAACGAAGGTGCATGCTTTTTTTGAACAGTGACATTAGGGCGCATTTCATCTCATGTTGTTGAGTTTAGTTCTGCTTCAATGTTATAGCAGGCTGGGGGTGTTGGACTGAGGGCTGTCAATCAAAGGTGCTTTTCAGAATAATAGGCCATGCCACAACAGTTCTCAGATAGGTCCGATTTTTAATTGACACTTTGTAATTTTAGTATGATACAAACATTTTCACTGTGCTCCCTGGGACATAAGTAACCAGACAGGATAAACATATCAAAACATTTGCTAAACATCATGACATATGTCCATGTGGGCTTTTTTTTTTTTGACCGCCAGTTGACATATCAGTTTACATTTCATTTGACTTTTTCCTTCTTTGTGCAGGTGGATTGTATAATGTCTGTCCTCCTCAGAAATATCTCTTGAAAAATGTATAACTTAGTGATAATTTTGACCAGGCCTTTGATAATTAAGGCACAGTCTCTGACTTTTGCACAGCACTGCATATCAGCTCAAAACAAAATTGTAGTGGTCTATAATTTTTTATTGGGTTCAATGCTCTGTGAAGTTCTGTAAAGCTTGTCCAACTTTGCAACAGTGGCTATGTAACAACATTTGTGGGCAGATCATGAACAGGTTTATTTAAATACTGTCCCAATTCAAATATTTCACAATTGGTTATAATATTGGTATATTGTTAGAACTGAGAAATTTTGTGCATGTGTTCTTAAATATGTAGCTAAGGATTTCTTAAATCCTTTAGCTACAAAAATAACTTTGTGAAAGCCCACAGTAGGATTGACACCCTCCTCCAAAATTACAACATTCCCCAAATTCTTCAAAATTCAGTTATTAAGCAGTGCATGCAGAAGCAAGTTCATGCCAGCATACTTTTTTATGATTATAGTGTTTCGTTACATTTTGCAGTCCTGTTAACAGTGTTCAAATGTTTGCCTAGTAGGTGTGTCCAGTACATCAGTGAGGAACTATTAATCAGTTGTTTTCATGGTACAAAAAATAATATGCCTTGTGTTGTAGTTATAGTGATTTGTGTTTAGAACTTACCCAAAACAACCAAATGATGGCTACGCTGACAGTTAAGATAATGACAGGCCTGATCAGCTGTTTCCGCATTTTCCGGTTTATCTGCTGGAGAGGACACAGTATTACAGTAAACCATTTGGGTACCTTTTATCATCAGCATCATCATCATCATCATCATCATCATCATCCTTATAAAAATCACCACCACCAATAAAAACAACATCAACAGCATTATAGTGAGGGGGCTACAACTGTAGCTAAAGAAAGCTACAGAATGCCTGCAGACCATCAGTACTCTGGAAATCATGTGAAATAGTTCACATGAGAGTTCGACCATGTACACTTTGAATGCACAGTGAATTTCAGACTGTGCTACTGAGATTTGTATGTTGTATTATATATGAATTATATTTCGATCAATTTTCCAGAATTGTTCTATCAAGTTTGGCAATTGGGGGGGGGGATAGATGTTATTTTTACTTAGGAAATCAAAAGAATATCATTTGACTGAGGTGCCAAAACTTTTGCACACAAGTCTATGTGAATGTATTAAAGACTGTACCTCATTATAGGCTGAAGATCACCAATGAATTATCAACCAGACCAGGCTTAGCATACTGAGCTGGATGATATTTCATAGTAATATTAGTAACATAGCAATATAAGTATGATTGGAAGATTGAAAAAAATTAAAATGTAGTACGTTATTTAGCATACAACAGAAAACATGATTCATTAGAAAACATTGTTTTTAAAGTGTCCAGTCTCAGGACTAGCAATCCTAGCAATGTCCCAGCATGTATGCACATTCACTTTAAGCGTTACCTTTTTGGGTGCATGTGGCAACAGAAACAGTAATAAAAACAACACAGATGCTGTTTATCACTCATACTACTGCTGTGATTGTTCATCCTTTAAAAGATTTTAGTAAAGTAGTGGCACTTGTGGAAAAAGGGGAAAAGCAGGAGAAGCAATGTCTATGTTTAAAAAATGCAGCAGTTTCACCAGCAGGGTCAGTGGCATGCAGATGAGGTTTGCACAGCGTTCTACAGCAGGGAGCTCCATGGTGGTCACACTGGTCCAGAAGGCTGGCGAGCAGTGGGCACCCGATCAGGGCGGATGAAGCAACAGCATCAGACCACACAGGATGGGCAGTTGTTCAGCTCGGCAAAGAAACACACAGGCAGTTAGTTCTGTTAAGAGCGACTGATTACAGTGTACAGTGTTAACATAGTGCAGCAGAGACTCCAGCAGGTCTAGCTATTACAGTCTAACTAAAGGGAGAGCCAGAAGTTAACAGACATTAGGGCTCCCTGAGATGTGAGCACCCCTCTGCTGCACTGTCAACAAATTTGAGTTAACATGTGAGAGCAACGGGATGACAGCACCAACACTCCCAGTTTACCATAATACTCTATGTCCATGAACCCCTAGATCTGCAGCCTCTATCTAAACAGGAAAAACTAATTACCAAAAGCTTGACTAAACAAGTAGGTTTTTAGCCTATACTCAAGCCACAAGACTCAAACACTGTCTGGTAATTTATTCCAAACCTGGAGGGTTTTGTATGAACAGGCTCTACCCCATGATGTAACTTTATTAATTCTAGGTACTAATAGTGAGTCAGCACTGTGTGAGCTAAGTAGATGTGATTGTCATAATACGGAATAAGTTCACTCAAGTACTGAGGAGTGAGGCCGTTTAGAGCTTTACATGCAAGTAAAAGAATTTTGTACTCAATGTGGAATTTAACTGGCAACCAGTGTAGGTTTCATAAAACTGGGCTGATGTGGTAAAACTTTCAAGTTCTTGTAACGAGCTTGTTGAAGCTTTTGCTGGAACATCCAGACAGCAGGGCATTACAGTAATCCAGCCTTGTGGTAATACATCCATGAACTAGCTTTTAAACAGTAGCTTTTAAAATAGCTTTTAAACGGTAACTAATTAAACAGTCTCTAGCAGCTTTTAGACCAAGAAGAAGAACCTCTGTTTTGTCTGAGTAGGAGGAAGTTACTCAACATCCAGTCTTGTATGTCTTTTACACAATCCTCAGTCTTATTAAGTTGAAGTTCATTATCATCATCATCATCATCATCATCATTTTTGGTTGATATATACAATTGTGTGTCATCAGTGTAGAAGTGGAAATGGTTGCTGTGTTTACTGATAATGGTACCCAGAGGTCCTAAAACAGAGCCTTGCAGAACACCATATTGTACTTTTGCAAGAACAGATGATTCACTGTGTACATTTACAAACTGATAGCGATCAGTCAGCCTATCTAGTAAGATAGTGATCTGTCGTATCAAATGCCACAATAAGATCAAGCAGAAGCAGCAAAGATGCATTTCCTTGGTCAGAGGATAATAAGAGATCATTTACAAGTTTCACTGCTGTTTGTACTATGAGGGACTCTAAATTCAGACTGGATTTTTTTTATCTATGTGATTCCTATGCAAATAGGAGCTTGGTTATTTCTGGCAAAATTTCTTTGAGTAAACTTGTAAGAATTGGATCTAATATGCAGAATATGTAGAAGATTTTGAGGAAGAAATAATTTTAACCAGCTCAATTTGTTGAAGTAAGGTAGACGATCTCTGCATCTTAATAGAATGATGAGGTAAATGTTAATGCTGTGTTTTTTTGTGAAATAGGCTGTAGAGAGACTGTATTGTCCTATTGCGTTAGTTTCTCCATGCTCAGTACTCAGTGTGCAGTGTATTATTTTGAATGAAACAGCTTTATTTGAAACTGTTCAGGGACAGAGTATTTCATGTAACCTGGACAGAGCGTTTACATACAGTGTGAGTGTATATATTGTAGACTTTGTCTGTACACAAACGATTATTTAAACGTACAGTGTGAGTCACTAAAAAAAAAAAAGATTTCTAAAATCGCACAGTGTATGTCTGGCTTTGGTCTGGCTTTGCTTTAGCTTTGTCTGATCTCTTCCAAGCAATTTTTGGCCAGAATCAAAAGTACTGAACAGTGGCTGCTTTTGGTTTTGTGTATCCTGTTTCCTCTGCACATGCAGCTACAAGTCAGGTTTTAGCAGGTCCAGACATGATCTTGGGTTTCTCCTGAAGAGCATAGCTGGCAACTGACCCATAGTTTGATGAGAGAGAAGTGTTTCTGTAAGCAAGTAAAGCTTTTGCTATTTTCTCTTGAAATGAGGTCATGTCTTTGTACATGGCTATCAAGGACTGCTGAAATGACTGAATAAACTTCTCCAAAAGGTCATTCATGGCTAGATGGTAATGGACAGAGGTAATGTGCTTGATACCTTTTTTTTTTTTTTGACAAAAGCTTGGAACTCCTCTGAACTAAACTGGATCCCATTATCAGTCACCAACTGTTCTGGGAAGCCAGTATGTGCAAAGATATCACAGAGACTGTCAATTGTTTTAGAGGACGTAACACTTCTCTCTATGAAAATTTTGGCCATTTTATGTATGCATCAACTGCTACCAGAATCATCTGGCCAGGGAAAGGTCCAGCATATTCAATGTGACTCTGTTGCTAGACTGTTTATGGCCATTGCCATGAGTGCAAAGGAGCTTTCTGGGGTTGTTGCTGGGTTTGTTGACACCCTGAGCATGTCTTAGCCATGTCTTCTATTTGACGGTCAAGCCCTGGCCACCATATGTAGCTTCTGGCCAGGCTCTTCATTTTAACAACACCCAGGTAATCTTCATGAAGTGCTTCCAATACTTAAGAATTAGGCCTAGGTGGCACAGTCTTTCTCGTACCCCAAATAAGACAGCCTTGAGAAATAGACAACTGTTCACGCCTAACTGAATATTCAAGAATCTGTGGATCACCCACAACAGACCACCCTTTTCTGGTCAATTTGTGCACCTTGACTAGCCCTGGGTCTCGGCTCATCTCTCTCTGTATTTGAATGAATGCTTTAGCCTAATTACAATTAGCTGGGCTTATTGACCTTGATGTAAATGTGATAGGTCTTTCAGACCTGTTAGGCATGCAATGCGTAAACCGTGTGCCATTGCCATATGATGAAGCATCACAAGCTAGGCACAGGGGAAAACTGAGGTTATAATGAGTGACCATGTTTTCTGAAGTTATCAACTCCTTCACTTTTCAAAATGCTTATTCACAAGTTTGTGTCCATTTCCATTTGATCTCCAGCTGCAACATGGATAGAGGACCATGAGAGGATCAGCAGAACTTTCTGGTAATTTATAAGACCCAGAAAGTAACACAACACAAAAAACAAAACAGAAGTCCATTTGCATCAAAGCGAGATGCAGGTGTTTGCAGAATGCCACAGAGTTCACCCCAGCTCATTTGTGCATCACTCTCACCATCCATCCATTTCATTCAGGGGTACATTCCCCCCCACTCATCAAACTCCAGAGCTATTCCAACTCAGCTATAGACTGTAAAATTACTATAGAGAAAGAGTGAGAGCGATAGAGAGCGCTTGAGAGTGAGAGAGTGTGAAAGAGTGTGCCCATAAGAAAGACAGAACGAGAAAGAGCGCAAGAGAGAAGTGTATAACAAAACACCATAGAAAAATTGCTCCTCTCTTAGCATGGAGACGGAGAAAATGTGGAGAGGACTTTAAGAATGTCATGGTTGAAGACACATCTTTGCTTTTGACACATCTTGCTTTTACATTGAGCAGATTGATTTTTCCTGGTTGGGTTGAAGCACAGGTCCAGCTGATACAGCTGACTGATAGAGGTGCACTGCAGGTAGGCTAGCGGGCTGCTGTGCCAAAGGCTAAATCAAGGGTAAATGCTATCATTACACCGGGTCTAGCAGTTCCTTCCGTATGTCTCTCTAATGCTCCCTCAATAACAGCCTGGACTAACATTAACTCAGACGGTAAGTGACTACACAGCAACAGATGAGTGATTACCCATATATAAAAAAAATGTTCCATACAAATACAAAAAAGTATGTATCAAATATATATTTTACATACGAAAATGACCAAAAAATGTGTTTGTTAAATATGTTTTTAAAATGCATTTATTCGCAATTGTTACTATATATTTTTCAATTGCATGTTGTTTTAACAAAGGTTACATAAATATACATGAACTAAATGAATGGGCTCTGGTTTCCTCCAACAGCCCAAAGACATGCTGTCAGGCCAATTGGAGATCCTAAATTGCTCTTAGGCGTGAGTGTGCGTGTGTGTTTGTGTGTCTGGTCTGTGATGGACTGGCGACCTGTCCAGAGTTTTTCATGCCTTCTACCTAGTGAGCAATGAGATAGGCTGCAGCACCCCCATGACCCAGGAGGAGAGGCAGCTTAGAAGATGAATGAATGAATGAATCAATCAATCAATCAATCAATCAATCAATCAATCAATCAATCAGTCAATCAGTCAGTCAGTAAATAGTGTATCAATACCTACAACACTTGCTTTTGCCATGTTAAGAGTTAATTTGCTAATACTTGAAATTAAAATACTGGAATACAAATTCATTTCAAAAGGTATTCCAAACAGTAAAGAGCTATTTTCATACATTTCATGTATTTCGTACATTTCATACATTTTCCAAGAGCTATTTTCATACAAAACCAATTTTGTATGGTTCATTTCTATGTGCAATATTTCCTAATAATTTTAAATAAATGTATTTTAAAAATATATCTGATTAATATGGCAATATATTCTGAAATACATTTTAGTGTTTGGAATGTATTTCTGCATGGATTGCAATGTATTTGAGATGTATTTTAAATATATAAAAATACATGTCCTTTTTTATTCCATATGGGTACTGAAAGAAGCCTGGCTCTGCCATTCATGTAAGGGGCTCCTGTGAGCGTGTTTTTCCCACAAAGTACTGCTGTTACAAATTTTGTCATGAGCATTTTTACTGCTGCTTGCCATCCCACACTGCTGATGTGTTAAGTTCTGTCTATTGGTGCACATGCATGTGTCAGCATGCGCATGCATCGGAAATTCCTTTAGAATGAATGCTATAGAATGAATGCAGTGAGAACGCTGCTAAACATCAAGTTCAAATTACTTTTTACACTCTACTCATATAATTTTAATGAATACAAATTTTAACAGCACACACACACACACACACAACACACACACACACACACACATTTTCCAAGCCGCTGGGTCGTGGGGGGAGCTGGAGCCTATCCCAGCGGTCAATGGGCGGAAGGCAGGAAACACCCTGGACAGGTCGCCAGTCTACCACAGGAAATTTTAGCATAGTCTACTGTTTCTTCACTGTTTTTGAGCTAAAAATATGAGGTGAAAAAAGACTAGGCTAGTAACATTAGCTGAGATAAGAGATCATTAACATTTGGTTGTTTATAAAAGACTGACTGCCTTTGTGAATTTTAAATCACTTGTGATGATCTGTGGCTTCTTGTGTTCTCGATATGGCTATAATGAACATTGTGATGATAATGTGCTAAGTGGCTCCCTGTGAAACTGAACAGTGCTTGGAGTTGCTGAGTGCCGCTGAGCATCCACATGAAGTGTCGGCACTGGTCTGTGTACACCCATTAAAAATTTTAATTTAGAGATTGTGGAGTGATGTGGTGATCTAGTGTGTGGTGGCCTTCAGACTGATGTCACATGATATTAGTTCAATGTTCTTGCATTAAACACATTTTTATGGTTAAGAAAAGGTCACTTTTTGGTCAAGATGATGTTTGCTTTCCACAAAACAATAACTTTCCATCAAATTCAAAGCATAATTAAATGTCTACTCTTCTACTTGCAAACACAAATGTGGTATTAAACAAAAGTCTAGAATCTGATTTTTTCTCTGCTTGTTTCAGTGTTGAAGCTGATGATTGCAAATGGGTAATCATCAACCACATGACCAAGTGCTTTCTGTCTGGACAGTTGATGGATGACTACGCCAAAGACTGTGTACTTTGCATACATAAATCAACTGTAGGCCTTCCTCATAATACATGGCATAGCTGGCCCTGAGAGTGATGTTGTTCAGGAATAGGTGTGGTGTGTTGGTGGGAAATTAAACCCTAGTCTGCTGTGTGGTTTTAATTGCAATGTTATTTCTTTTAATTTGCTTGTAGTTTGGAGAACAAAGGTAAAAATCCTGCTTAGAGCCCAACAAAGGCAAGGGTTGATTAATAATCATAGCCATTATTAGCGAATTAGTGGTGTCAGACTAAAGTTAAGGCAAGGCGAGTTTATTTATATAGCACTTTTCACCTTCGTATCTGGTTGTAATGCAGCTCTGCCTGAGGGCCCAAAGATCATGGCCATCCAGTATTGGTTTTCAGCCTTGTTTCTTGCATACAGAGAGTTCTCTGGATTCTCTACATCTCTGAATGATGTTATGTACTATAGATGATGAAGGTTTTTGCTATGTTATGTTGAGAGAAGTTATTCTTGAATTGTTGCAATATTTGCCTGCACAGTCTTTCACAGAGTGGTGAACCCCTCCCCATCTTTACTTCTGAAAGACTCAGCCTCTCTGGGATGCTCTTTTTACCCAGAGAGGCTGTCAATATAGACTTGTTGCCAATTAACTTTATTTGCTGTGAGATCGTCCACCAGGTTTTTTTTTTCAGCATTACACTTTACCAGACTTTTGTTGCCCCCATTCTAACTTTTTTGAAACGTGTTGCTGGCATCAAATGAAAAATAGGCAAATATTAAAAAAAAAAAACACAAACTTTCTCAGTCATCTTGTTTGGAAACAGCATTGTAATATTATGAGGAAGGTCATAAATTATCTATCTAGACAGGAGCTATCGAGTTCAATGAGTATGCAGTAAAACTGCACAATAGTATAACAAGTAAATTCTGGGTCCACCTGCAAATGCATCTAGATCTGCCCCCTTCATCTGAGACAAACAATTCTCACGGTCAATGTCATTGTGATATTTTGGTGGAAAATATAAATCATGTACAAACAAACAGCTTAAATCATTGGCATAGACAGAAATAAACTGCTGGGTAGGCCTATGAAAAGTGGGTAGGCCAACCTGCTAGATACAATTTCCAAACATGCTATGTCTCACAATGTCATAACACCAGGCTACAGCCTATGGCTGACAGCAGTGCAGTCATCACTCTACCTATTCCAGTGCTTCAACAATATAAAGATACAAAACAATAACAAGACTATGAATACATCAATGAGAAAACTGGATTTACATAAACACTGCAGTACCTGTCACTATAAAGCATCTGCCCGCCACACGCACAACCTTTGCCCAATGAAAACGACATAACTGAATCTTTTTTTGGTAGCAAGCAGAACATGCAAGGCATCTGTAGCAGCACCATTAGACATGCACTGAGACCAAAACACCGTTTGATATCTTATAACTCCCAACTCTTCTTTCTGATTGATAATATATTTCTGCCGGTATTTTTCACACTGCTCTTTCAAACCAAACCGTGCACTGAAACGTTTGGTTAAACCTTCAATCATGTCATCAATTGAAACATATGCAGTGCCACCAGAGGGCCCGAAGATCATGAGCATCCAATATTGACCGTCGACATTGTCCTTTGCGTACAGGGATTTCTCATTTTTACTTGCTTTTATGATATATAACATTTTGTTTTAAACAGTGATCAGCTTTTTGCAAATGGTCAGGAAGAGTGTTGTAGAGTTTTGTTGGGGTCCTAAGGGTTAAAAGGATACAAAATTGCGCATTCTGACAAAACGATGAGGCTGATGGATGCAGTACTGCGCTACAGAACGTTACATAGCACGAGAAATCAAGTGTTAAATGTTAGTGTTAGGACTGAATATCCCTGTAATTCTTTTGTAGTTGAGTTGGGGAATTCGTGTCCATCCACACAGCGGTAAGTTCAATTATTTGCCCTCAGTAGTGCAGAGATAATGTGATGTCCTACCAAATCATGCTTTTTTGCCGGCTGTGTGCTTTGTGAATTTTGGTACACACACGTGAGATCATTCTGGCGATTAATAAGTCTGTCTTAAAGGCTGGACAGTGGTCAGGCTAGCGGAGAAAGGGAGCAGAGAGAGTCAGAAACACAGGACAGGAGCTATCAGACCTCCGTGTGGACTGTCGGACAGACGAAGACATTTATTTGCTTCAGAATCTAACAGGTTGTAACTTGTGGAAGGGGTTTTTCTACAAGTGCCACATCGCGGCTACGTGGCTGCCTGGGCCACTCGGGTGATGCTGCACTGCAGCTGTGAGGCTGCGTGGAGCGGTGGTCTTCGGCTGCAGGAAAACCACTTCGTGGCCTTCGAGGCTTCCCGGGCCGGCCGCATGTGTGATGCAGCTGCGGACTGAGACTTCTCCCTCCGGCTGAGGACTCTTTCCGTATTAGTGACTGTATACCGTGATTAGCGGAAGCCCACCGCTAGCTGTGGGAGCTGTGGAGAGAGTGTGTGTGTGTGTGTGTCTGTTTCTGATTGTAAAGCGTACTTGAGCATGGGAAAGATGCAGAAGAAGAAGAAAGAAGAATAACATCATAATTATCATCATCATCATCACTTTTATTTCTATAGGCTATATAAAAAAAGTGATGGTGATGAAGATGATGATGATGAGTTTTTGCTGTAGATTAGAGAAAACCTGAGGTATTACTATTATTATTATTATTATTATTATTATTATTATTATTATTATTATTATTATTATTATTACTACATTCACTACAACAGGTTTAATCAATTATCTTACGTTATTAGTTGATCGTTGAATTCTGCCTATGATGAATATTAACCGAATAAAACAGCTGACGACTTTTTGCAAGAACTATTACTGCTCATTCAGCTCTACAAACAGCCCATAAACAGCGAATTGGCAGCGCATGTCTTAAACAAACCAAACGCCTTTATAACACAGTAAAGAACGTTATTTGTGCACTAACCGTTATTTCCGGTTTGTAGCAAACAACAGGGCGTTGCGATGTAACTGTCGTACTATAAACTCCAAAGACAAGTTGCCAAAAGTTTCAACTGCAGTCAGATGTTCCACTGGACTACTGTAACTGGATACTTCCAATAGTGCCGTAACAGCCCCAAAAGAAGAAGAATCTTCCAGTTCCTGCATCAGAGTGGAGGCATAAACCCTTCATGAACTTTAGTTTATCTCACTTATAACTGCTGGGAGTTAATTTAAAGTATATACTAAATACGTTTATATGTAAATTCATACTCACGCTTCTTCGCAAGTCCTTCTCGAGCTGAACCGTTAGGTTGGTTTGTTTTTGGGTTTCCAAGACCATTGAAGCCTGGTGAATCGCACTTTCTCTTTCACTTCACTCATTTCCTCGTTGCCATTTTTGCCTTCACAAACTAACGCAGAAGCTGAAAAACTGCGACACTGACAACTTTTTTTTTTTTGGGGGTGGGGGCGGGTGTGCAAAAGCAATAAGATTCTAATGTTTTGCACACCACAACATGGGGTATGTATTCATTCTCTCCATTTTTGTAAGCTCTCTCATGTTCCCTCACGTTTGAACTTTTTCCACATGATATCCATTTTACATCCTTATGACCTTCATATTTTTTTTTTTTTATTCAAAGTCTTGAATGATTTTGTGGTGTAGTTAGTATCAATGTGAAAAAGCACATGGACCACAGATACACATAATACAAAAAAAGCCGTTTAAAGTACTGAGTCAGTTATCCTTGTGAAGTCATAAAAGACAAGAACAGATGCACAGTCCTTATATAGCTTTGGGAATTTGTGAGTAACTGATGCTAACTTTACAGGGATGAAGTTCATTGTGAAATACAGAGGATGTGGTATTTTGAAAACAGAAAAAAAAAAAATTGTCACAAAATATGTTCTGTTATTTTCTTCATACCAAAATACCAAATAAATACCAAATAAAACATCTGTACAGCAAAACAAGAATTTGGCAGTACAATAAGAATGGATTAAAGTTTCTGAACAAAATTTCTCTGTATAAGTGCCACTTCAAAGACTGTCACATTATGTTAAGGGGCTCCTGTCGGGTGCTCTTGCCATGTGCCACTGTCATGTAGGCCCTGTCATGTAGGACCTGTGATGTACCACTGTAATGACTACCACAGAATACTAGGGGGCTCTTTTCTCACTGTCAAGTCACTGTCATCTAGGCTGAGTCACTGTAATGACTGCCACAGAAGGCTAGGGGGATGATTGATATACTTTCTAAAGCTTTTTGATTATATGTGTATCTGTGCTAATTGTGTCTTTTTTTTGTATTTTTATTGTTTGTTAATTAATTAATAGTAGCAGTGGTGGTAATAATAATAATAATAATAATAATAATAATAATAATAATAATAAAAACAAGTAGTAGTAACGTTACATCAGAGAACTCGTAGAAAGGAGAATTACCACTCTGTAATGTCTTCGGAGTCTCTCAAACAATAGAGGGCGCTCCTGAGCGAGTCCAAAAATGAATGGGTTAATAATAAGTATTTGTGCATTTCCCGAACACTGAATTTTGACACCACTGTTATATTTTAAGAGCTTTTAAACCCGAGTTATAGGAGTTTAAAATGGTGCCTCATGTATGTTCATGACGTCAGTGAGTGTGAACAGCCAATAAGCTGCTCTGTTTGCCAACCAATCAGCACTCAGTAGCAGCAATGCTAATGTCCTACTGCCCAAAACCCATTTGCTGTAGAAAAAAGGAAATATACAGGTAAGTTTTCTATGCTGTTTTATTTTCAGTATTATTATTGTGTTATTTTCAGAGAATCACGTGATTAATGGCAAAGGAAGCCTCGCTTTCTGCCCAAATAGTAACTGCTTTGTTTATGAAGACTGGAAACCGGCCCTTCTCCAAAACAGACTCAGACCCCAAAACTGTGAAACTACTTTTAGCCTAGTGGCCTATGGAATGGAGCATTATTTACACTGGAATGTTTCAGTGACTGATTATGCTGGTGTCATAATCAGTCACCGATTGTCAGAATGTTTATGAATCTCCACCTGACACACCAAACAAGCCCAACTGACAGTGTGAACAAGTCACTGAATTTAATCCTGTGCCAGAAAGAAACAATTGAAAACTGTCACCAAAAATAAGTTTAAGTGTAATGAACAATCAAACTTACACAACCAAAGGTGTGATGTCCACAACAATTTAGACTAAGTAAAGGGAAAGTCAATCATTCCAGGTTTTTCCTAACCAAAATCAGCTAAAATAACTGAATACACACCAAACAATTTTGTGCAAAGCATTGTCAAGTGTTGAAATAAACTGCTCTAATTTAAGCATTTCAGCAAGAAATGTACAGACATGACATTCAGAGTCCTTTGTTAAACTTCAGCAACACTTTAGCCTCGAAATTCCCACCAGTGACCCTGGCTCTGCATAGTACTATTTGTAATAGTCTATTACAAAAAAGTTTTTTCCGCTTTAGCTAAGCCAGGGATCGGCAACACACAGCTCTTCTACTGCCCTGTTGCGGCCTCCCAGTAATATCTGTCTGCAGAGCCAGCCACAGTTTCATGCCAGCAGTTTCACTCTAGGAAGTTCAGGCCAGTGTCATTCAGTGCAGTTAACATTTCAGTCATTTTAGGCGGGTTTCTAATAAATTTCTGATAAATTTGCATTGGGCTAATGTATAATTTAAGCTTTAGGCTAAAACAAGTTGTTTTTGAATGCATCCCTGCTGAAAAAACCATTAAGTGTTTCTTTCAGTTTCTGGTGGTTTTGTAATGTGTTTTGGGTTTTTAAATGTGTTAATGTCACAATGTAAAGGAACCTAATGGATCCTGGTTTAACAAGTCACCAATGGCTCATTCCATATGCATTTGATGATTTCCTAATGGGATTTGAAGGTATTCTGCAGGAAACTACAGTGGTCTAAATTGGAAACCATGAAGCCAATTCCCATTAGAAAGCAAAACCATTAGGTTTTAATCCTAATGGCTTCTAATGGTCCTTTTTCAGCAGGGTAGATATTCACAGGGTAAATACAACAAACTACAGCTTATGTGGCCTGGGTAAGCTAATGGGTTTTGTAGACACCCCAAAAGAGTATTCTACAGAACAAACTGGGCAACATCGCTCATATATTGGCAACGGTATCCCTTCCTGAATGGTAATATGCATGGCAACACATACTAGTTGCTGTTTACTCCAGAAATGTTATAAATGAGCTGACCGGCCATGGGTTGAAATATGAATGGGACCCTCGTAACGCTCAACTTTCCTATAAGGACTTTGTTTACATGGCACAATCGCGCTGTCCTGAAACCGCTGGAGTGAAACTGTGGGTGTGAATCTGCGGCTCTGTGGCTCTGCAGTCAGACCTTCCTCTGTTGCGGCTCTACACCAGAACTAGAATTTTAGGTAAAATAACATAATTGTCCTTTGCTGTAAAATAAAGCTCTGCTGATCGTTATAACACACAGTTCCACAGAGTTTTCAGAATAAATGGTCTTAAATGCTGGAGTTAATGTCTAACTGCTAATTCACCCTTTAACCCTGAAGATCAGCGCATAGACTGCTTGTCACACAGCGAGGCAGACAACCTCGCCTAGCTAGTAGCTATCGAATGAGCTGGTGAATGAGAAGCGACTTCAGTCTCGTAAAGAGGTGAACACTGAGAGACATTTTACAAGAAACTCTACTTTCGCCGAAAGACTGAGGTGCAAGGAAAGCAGCTATAAGCAGAGTAAGTCTGTGTTTCGTTTATATTATATTTTTAGCCTGAATTAGCACATTAGCACATACTGAGACATATCTACAGCCAAGATGTTGAAACAGATATAAAATGGTAGTGGCTCCGAAGGTGGTTTCATTTTTGCTGAAAGGACAGAACGTTTGCAGACACCTGTTTATCCTTTAATTCTTCTGAAATGAAGTGTATTTGTAGAGGTTTGTTCCTCTTTGCTGCAGTAACATCCTGTCCTTTTTTGGAAAGACTTTACACTAGATATTGGAATATCGCTAAGATGATTTGTTTGCATTCAGCTACAAGAGTATTAATTAAGTCAGGTACTGATGTTGGATGATCATCAAACTCATCCCAAAGATATTGGATGGAGTTCCATCACTCCAGAGACCCCCACCAGCAACCCCTTAATTCTAACCCTGTCAACAGATTAGAGAGTTGGGCAGAAAACAGCTCTTGGTTTCAGCCCACACTGGCATTATTACATAAATAATACAAATATCACAGTCAAAACAAGTGGATAAACAATCTTAACACATACAAATACATGCCAGATCATACAGTGCTTAAATATGATTTGACCCTTTCCTAATCTTCTCTATTATTGTATGTTTTTCACAGTGAATGCTTTTAGATCTTTAAATGTAATATTAAACTTATCAAATACAAAACACATTTTTAAATTATTATTATTTCATTTCATAAAAAGAAGCAAATTTGTCCAAAATGTGAATCACCCATTGGAAAAGGTAATTGCCCCTCTATTTACTCAAGCTACAATTGAATCAAGTTCAACTGATAATGAGATTCAGCTGCTTGAACACAGTCAGGCTTGAATGTTGCCAGCCCTGCTGAACGTAAGCCTGACTCATAACGTGATGTAGTTGGCACAGAGTTGTTAGAGGCACGCTCAAAACAAAATTTGGAAGAGGTGAAAAAGCTGTAGAAATATATCAATCTGGAAAGGGTTACCTTTTCTAACGTTCCATGACCTCACCAAGCCTTTATATACAATTTTTGAACGCTGATTAATCTTTCCAGCAGTGACCAACTTGACAAAAATTTCACAAGAGGCCAGTGGCAAATCATTCAAAGGTTCCAGGGAAAAATCCAAGGAACAAGGCTCTCTATAGGCTCAAGTAGTCAGTAAGTGTTCACGATTCCACAAAATAAAAGACCATGGCCACAAAAGTTGCATTCATGGAAGAGCAGCATGGCAAAAAAATAACTCCTAACCAAAAGAAACTTCACTGCTTGTCTCACATTTGTAGTAAAAGTACCTGAAGGCTTTTAAAAACAGACCATGAGGTTTTGGACAACACAGGACACGGACAACATGCTATTGTTGAAGGAGTCAAGAAATCTGTTCTTACTTACTTAAAGCCCCTGGCAACTCATTTACATGATTTTCTTTCGACTGTTATCTGTAGTTTTGTGATGTTTTTACAAAGAACTGGCATGAAAGAATGATGGTGGTCTCTTCTCTTCAGACATTTTTGAATTTACTTTTGATTCCTACCATTTTTCTCAAATTGATTTTGGTGGGAGTTGGGTGGGACTAAATTTGGCATAGGTGACATTAGATCTGTGAAAGTGCCAGTCGTGGTTAGAAGTATGTCTATGGCAGCTTCTCGTGTTCCTCTCCCTTACATAAAGTG